AGGCACTCCACTTCTACACCAGGTTCCAATATTCATAGACGTTAACTATGATAAGACACAATTATATCATGTATAATATGGAACCAACGTGAAATGGAGAATACTTAAAATATCATAAAATATTTGTTGTGTATTTTGAGCAAAAAAATTTTAAAATACTCATAGGGTCTCATTACATACATACACAGTTGTGACAACCCGTTAACGGGTCTTTGCAGTTACGGAACTCTTCGGCCAATGTCCTCTTAGGGATCTCGCCCTCCTTCATCCTTGCGACGTGGCCTGCTCGCCGTAGTCTCCTAATCATGATCCATTTGATGATACCAGAATCTCTGTACAGCCTTGAAATTTCCTGGTTCTTCCTCTTTTTCCAGGTGTCTCCCTCACTAACCGGGCCAAAAATTCGTCTCAATATCTTCCGTTGAAACACCCGAAGCAGTGCTAGCCCAAAATAGCTTCGATTGATTACAACAATTCTCTGGAGTCCTATTAAAGTAAGTAAATTTGAGGCACCAAATTTAAATTAAAAATCGTGACATATCTTCAAATGAACTGATTAAACAAATTCTATTGAATAATTTGTCGTTATTTTGAGCTAAAAGTGTTTCAAAACATTCATTGAATAATTTGATCAATCAAACTTTAAAATCGCTCGAGCTGTTTGCTCAAAAATTGTTACAAACCTAAAAGGTGTGAAGCTGAACGCATAGTCCGTGATACAGACTCCTTTTTACTACATTATTATGCGCCTAAAAATAAATAGCTTCATATAGTATAGTAACCTACAATGTTTTTATCTACGAAAATTCTCAGAAATAGGACGTTTTCTCATTAAATTAACGAGATACTAAAAACTCACAAATACTAATTTGCTTTCCATTTGGATCGTAAGATAATTTAATCACAAATTCGAAAAAAAAGGTGGCTTACAAAAGTATTGGGCCGTTTGGTCTATATAAGCTCGTTATTTTGAAATGCCAAACGGCCCAATACTTTTGTATACCACTTTTTTTCTCGATTTTGTGATCAAATTATCTTAGGTTTTAAGTGGAAAGCAAATGGGTATAATCATGAGTTTTTAGTACCTAAATAAATGAACAAAGTTTGCCGATCTCCAGAAAGAAAACGTCACAATTCCAAGAATTTTCGCAAATGAGATATTTGTAGATTACGATGAGACGAAAATATTCATGAAGTTTCAGGCGGATGTTAATAATTTGATAAAAAGGGGTCTGTACCACTTTTTACCGAATAACGAGGACAAACTTTAGGCTGGAAACTTTGGCTAAACTCTAGACTGGACAAACTCCTGAGACTTCTGTTCTCCCTCACTCCCGCACTCTGAAACCATTTTTTGAATTTTAATTTAATTTACAAAAGAAAAAATTCTGCATGAAATATAAATGAATTGTTCTTTTCAGGAAGGAGATAACTGTTCGAATAATAATCCAGTTGACTTCTTGTTAAAATCAAACTAAGGGAGAAAATTATAAGGAATAAAAATGATTAACAATTTACGAAATAAAATTCTCGTTTATTCACCTGTTTTGAAACATAGGGTTACCTCGTCAGTATATGATGAAAAAAAAATACTAATTTTTAATCATTTTTCTTTCTGAAACTTTACAAAATGTTATTATTTTAATATAATTTTATTATCTGTTCGTAAGTAAAAGCAGAAGTCACCATGATTTATTCAAATTACTGTATGATAAGTTGCCTTATAATGATTATGATTGGCCTACACTGTTTTGCAAGATTATTAATGTTTAAATAAACAATGACAGTTTCTTATCTCCTTTACACGAATCGGTACTATCTCAGATAAGGTAGGCTGGATAAGACCATAAGCTGTTTAGTTATCTTGACAGTCTTCATTGATAGCGTTGCCAACAGTTTTACATCAAGGACTTAATTGTTAGACCTATAGTCTACTTATAGTTTTAAGACTACAACCTCCGTACTTCCACCAGTAATGCGGTTTCATTCTTAGAGGGAAAATCTGTCGTGCGGTGTAGCGTGCTGTCATGAACATCTCAAAAGATTCAATCTTGTTTGTTTGGACCGCGTAGGGTTAAAACGATTCAGGGGAGTCCAGAAGGAGGTTTAATGGCGCAAGTTGCGTCATCAAAAGTTTTGAAGGGGGCGCATTTTGACGTGTTTTTGATTTTTTGAGGAGGCACATATCGACGGTGTTATGAATTTTCAGAATGAAAAGTTGGAAACCAGAAGACAAGCGGAAGCATGAAACAGACAACAGGATGTGAAATTGTATATAATCTAAAATCATTTTACTCTCTTGTGCTATTTTTAAGAAGAGCACAATAATAAAATATCATGAGAATGGGGGAGGAGGGAGAGTTTCATGCGCCATCGATGTTGGGGAAGGATGGGCATCTCTGAAACGATTGATAGTTATAATAAATATTAACCGGCCATAATCTAAATAAACCAGGAACAAAATGAATCATTTCGGATTATATTAGCTTTAATTTGTTTAAAAATTACTGGTCAAGTTAAAATATTTAATATGAATATATCCACTACTTCTATACCTTGATCGAAAAAAAGTTATGGCAAATTAATATTTGATCATACCAAGTAAGTCGTAATATAAGAAACTCTTGTCTCACTTTTTTAAATACTTTTAATTTGATTTTATCAAAAAATAAACACGGTTTTCAGAAAATTGGAACCAATTAATGGTTTTTCGAGGTAAAGGAGAAATTTTTTACATCACATAACTGGGACATAGAGTTCCGAAACAAGCCGAATCGATTTACTTTTAGTATTTCAAAACAGTTTTTGCACTATATTATTATGAGGTGGAAGGATTTTTTTTTTTAATAATCTAAACCTTATTCTTTAAGTGTTTTAGTTTGATTCTCTTTATGTGTTTTGGTTTCTATATTTCAACTTATTTTTTAAAGATTACCATAATAAGATATTGTTTTAACTTTTCTACTGGGTCTCATTGGAGGGAATATCGATAATTAAGGGAGAAACAGTCTACCGAAAATTTAGTTCAGCGGCGTCAACCGCACATTCAAGGTCTGATGTTCCAAATTTATGATATTTTGAAGGTTTTTAAAATAAAAACATCATTATTCTTATAATTATCCAATTCTATTCAGTGTCACATCGTGAGAGTGGAGATTGGATTGCGAATAATTTTTTTGAACTTATTTCTAATATGGAAAAGTCAAGAGAGAAAACTAATTGAAACGGATCTCAAAAAATGACATTTTTGGCGGTGTTCAACACCCGGAAATGATTCGCAGCGCGTGATATCCAAATCTGCTATGGTAGTATGACACAAAAAATTCACTGATCTTGTAATACAAAACTCTTTAGAATGTGAAATTGATCTAAGTGTCATTTTTACTATTTCATATAGATTTCTAAACAGTTATTTTTTATAATCGTCGATAGTAGAATTCGATTTAATTAAAATTTCCATATTTCAAGTATACAGAAAGATGTCAACTTACCATCAGTATTCTATTGTTAAATAATGTGAACTTAAAGATTTTTAAACTCGTTAGTTTTTCGAATCTGTAGTTCAGTAGGACACTGATAAAAAAAATCGTTTAAGCATGTTTCTATTCTGATGAGGGAAGCGGTAAATTTAATTTTTTTAAGGCTTGAAGGTTTTTTGTTGAATAGAAAATGATACCTGAAAAATATTAACATTAGGACATTTCCAATAGCTTAATGGAAACGAGATAGAATTCACTTCAAAAACAATTAGAATTGTTTTTGTTTTTTTAAATACCATTTTAAGCGGGTAAACAACACCAAATACTTGATTTATTCATAATTAATTTTCTATTAACTAGTCTAAAGAGTCCTTCTAAACTAAAGATTGTCCACTATTAAAAAATATGCCATTTTTTAACGAGCTTAGATTTCACGTTAATTAGGTTGTGAGCTCTTAAAGAATAAGCTGAGGATTTCCTCCTGTCTTATAAAAAATTATGTGATGTGAAATTCTGTATCCTCAAAGTACGAACCTTTTAAGCAAAAATAAATTATTATAAAGATTTTAAATATTTTTCTTCTATGACGGATGTATTTTAATAAATTAATTACTAAAATGTAATTTTTATTTATTAAAATAATAGGTAAAATAATTCATAAAATAATACATAGATAAAAAATTTAATAATTAACATAAAATAATATCAATTAATAACAACGCTAAATATTCCTGGTAATTATAATGTAAAATGCATTTTATTGAAACTTCTTAATCATAGTTCTTTCCAACATTTTTCCACCTTCAGTTGGTACAAGGGCACAGCGTGCTTAATCTATTAATGAAAAAATTATTTTGTTTCTTTTTGGAAAAGATATCTGTAATTCCTCAAGTGGATAAAGAGATATGAACATTCAGTTGGTAAAATCTATCCTATAAGAATCAATTACCATAATTGAGATATATTTTAAGAGTGCAGGTGCACTCATTAATTTAGATGATAATTTTTAGATATTTATGTTTTGAAAAAGCAGCGTTCTTTGAAAAGATAATTAAAGTACATAACTAATGAGGAATTTTAATGAGGCAGAGGTCAAATGGTGGAGAGCTCTTTGAAAATTTTCATTAAAGAACATTTCACATTTTACATCGTTGACAGAAATATTTATTATTATTATGAAATGTTATTTATTATTTATCTCACTTTCACAATTTTCACAAAATTTAATTTAATTTTCTATAACTTGAATTAAGTATTTTATTTATTTATTTATTTTTTATAGATTAAAAGTATTCTAGTAATTAATCTATTTAAATACATTCCAAGATACAAAAAAAAAAAAATCCTTTAAATGTTATTAACAGAAATAAATTTCATTTTTATTATACTCTGTATATCTATATACAATAAATATAATATTTTTTAGTGACTATCTATTTATAACAATCAATTTAATTGATTAAACTTTATTCAACAGCGAAAATGTCCAGTAGAAGGTGCAGCTGCTAGTTGACAGTGACTATGGCTGATACAACTACTACTAACTACAAGGTGTCTGTAATTGACGAAGGAGAGGAACAGTTGGAAGCTCTTGCCTCTGACCTGTGGATTGGTATTGCCTTGATCCTCCTGATACTCAGCTCTATTGGCTGCCTCTGTTCCTGCCTCATGTACCACAAGTTCCGTCAGTGGAAACGCCATGGTTAGTCAACGTATTTGTTTTGTTTCATAAAATGTTCAATGTGAGGAAAAGAGATACATATTTTGTTTTAATTTTAATTTTCTATGCCCTATAAGGTGGGTTGTTGACATAAGATTTAGGAAATAAGTGTGAGGAGATCGCTTTAACTACACAGAAGTGGAAATTTTGGGATTGGGAGTTTATTTCTACTAATGGTCACAAGTTATTTTGACCAGTTAGCTAAGTTTGGTTCTCTTAGTCTAGCCGAAGAAGAATAGGGGGTTGTTATGTATTGGAGGCTATCAAAGAAGTTAATAAGCATCTTTGTGATGTTGTTTCTCACCATCACTAGATTGAGGGTTGTGTGGTGTATGTGAAACCCACCTTCAATTCTTCTTCTTTATTAGTAACAGTGTCAGCCTTAGGGTCGGGAAATCGCCCTGTGGCACTGACCTGGGGAAGGGTGCCCGCCACTTCTTATAAATAAAAATAAAATTACATAGCTTATGAGATTAAGTAATTTTAGCCTATTAATAAATCAATTGAATTAAAGACATAGTGAATGGAATAAAATTCAAATATTACTTAATATAAAATTACTGAAGATATAAGTTTAATTTTTTGGGGGAGATGATATCATTGCTCAATGTGCCAACTGTCTAAGGCTATCACTGGATTACTAGCATTTCATTTAATAAATTTTGTAACAGACAGTGAAGTAAGTAGAAAGTTGAAAATGCAGTACAGCACTCGGTAATCTGTGATTATATTCCTTTAGTTAAAATCAGTCACCACAATTGTCTAAATATTATTATTGAGAAAATTTGGACACTATAATTTGTTTTATTTAAATAGAGATGCATAGCCATAGTATCATGCTTTCAATGATATTGTTAAAACCAACTAGGTTACTGCATATTGAGATATAGAATATTTTAATTTTAAGTAATATATTTATTTCGAACTTTATAATATGTTTTATAGTGTTAATTGTAATTTTAGTATAATAAAATTGTTTTGTTATTAAATCCGTTTACTAGTGTATGAATAAATACAACTACAGTAATGAAAGAAAAGTAAATGGTAAAATATTTGAGCACATTTATACCAGGAATGATTCTGAAGTGAGTAATAGATTATTTTATTAGAAGGGATTTAATAAATAAGAGATGACAGGAGAGCCAGTTAATCCAGAGTATATTAAAACAAAATCCAATATTAATTTAAGTTTTTTATCATCTGAAAATTCTGGGTACTATAGAAGATAAAGAAAATTTTGAAATATGTGTTTTTTTAGTTGTTTCTTTATTCTTTGAAACATTCATTCATAGTCAATGTTTCAGGACACCATCATCAGAACTATAGCTTTTATTTTCATTAGATATACAAAGATGATTTAAATTTTTTTTTGGTCATTATATCAAACATTATAGAATAATGTTTATTATGATACATTTTATTGTTTTTAATAGCACACATTTTCATCCTAATTTTTTTTTATATTCATCCTACTATCAAATATTTGTTGTTTGCTACCTTGCTTAACCCCATCATTTGATCAGTCAACATTTACTGTTGTAAAGTATTTATCTTTTAGTTTAAATAATTAAGTTATGATTTTAACTTTAATGCTGAACCCAACTATACTTTCTTACATTTACTATGGTTTATACATCCTTCCTTGTGAAAAGAGAAGGATTTTTTTTAAATATTGGTATTTAAATAGATATTATCACTTAAACTTAGACATATGTAAAGTACCATCTTTTTTGCCCTAAAATCCTTGGTCTTTAATTCTGCCTTCAGCTCATGAAGTCTTTTCATTCATAATCAGAGGCAGATCAAAATAAATAGAGATTAGGCAATAAGAATTTCAATGTCCCAAGAAAGTATTTAACTTAGAGGTCATATATTTAATACATTACTTAATACATTTTTCGGTTATTTTCAAATTCTTCACGTTGAGATATTTTGAAAATGAGGACACCTTCACCACTCAAAGCAGTCACTTATTGCCTAAATCTGTCATTACTTGTAACCTTTATAATAAAAAAGATAGCATTAATGATAATTGAAATCTAAGAAAAGCTAATTAAGAGAGAAGTAGTGTAAAACTTTTTTTAATGAGTTAACCTGTTCTAAATATTTGTAAACAAGATAAAACCATGAAAAAATAAGAGGTACACAAAATAAATGTAAATAAAGGAGGAAATACACAAAATATGAAATAATTGAATAGTGTTCATAGAAAAATTTGTTTCTTTATTTCATGTTTTGCTTAACACCTAATCAGACAAACTTGGCTACATTCTCTTGTGAGCCTGATAGAGTTCCATACCTGTTTGTGAACATTATAATGATTCTCGATTTCTAATTATAACAAGAATAAACAAGTTATTCTTTATTGTATTTCTAATAGGTATCACTTTTTTTTTTTAATAACAGTAATTATTCTGGAAGAAATACAAAAAATACCTATACAAATTATGTATAACTGGTCCTTGAAGGTCTGCGAACAAAAATACTAAATAAATAAAAATGGAAATTAGAACAATGATGGTTTTAGGGTCCATATGTCAGAAATGGTGAGATAAGGGTTAATAGAAAAAAAAGAACTAGAAGTTCAATACTGTTAACTATTATAAGGGGATATTCATGGAAAGGAAAAAAATAGTCAAAATAAAATCTCAGCTTGGCGAAAGTCTTACATTAAGCAGATAAGTACCATTCGGAATAAGAAAATAAAATAGAAGACAATACTATAGGTAAACAACTGCTTCAATATTATATCAGGAAATAATTTTGAATTATCTTGTCAACCATATTTTATATACAGTAAATGTTTGTGGTTTGCAAGAAATGTAAAGCTCTGCCTCAAATAATTTATATATAATTATGTTTCAGACTTGAGACTGCCAAGCGGGTCAGATAGCTCTTGCCAAAGACGCCAGTCAGTTGAGTCATTACCGAGCTATACGCTGGTCACTGGGTTACCTACCTATGAGCAAGCTATGTCCCAGCAGGTCATCATTTCCTGCTCCCCAACTAAGTCTTGAAGACATCTAAGATCTTCCTTCACCCTGTGTCCTTGTTCTTCCTCGAGCAGTTTCGCTCACATTGTGGAAGCTCATATTTTTAACATTTCTTGTTATTTCCTGATAATCTGATCTGATCTGTATGTTCAAGACAAATCAGGCTCAATAGGCAAGAATGTTATGAGAACTATAATGAACTAATAAGTGTTAAGACTATTTTGGGTGAAGCGGTTTGCCAAGGAGATAGAAACTAGTCCACAATCCGTCCTTACTCTTCTACTGGCAAGGTGCACTGTAAATGAATTGAATTAGCCTATCAATCATGAAACATGATACTTAATTATCTCGAGACATTTTTCTTATGAGAAAATATTTTGTCCTTTGCTAGAAATATTTAAGTTATTTTGTTACTTATATATATAATGATTGTGTTTATGAAATGAAAGTCAAACAAAAGAAACATCTATCAATATTATAGATGTCAAAATATTAATATACTAACTTTGATTAAAATTTCTATCAGTATTAAATTTAAGAGAATTAAAATTTGGAATATTTTAGTTAATATTTTACATGTAAATTTGGTTAATTGGTAATACTTATGTCATTTATAGCTGAATGTTTACAGAAAGTGTATATATAACATTGTATATAGAAGAGAAGTTTTTCTTTATCAATGGTGTCCTAGTTTCACAGTAATTCATTATCAGATTTTTTTTATACCTTTTCTCATCAACAATTATGTATTTGCAGTTATATAACTTAGATAGATATAACTTTCAGGAACAACACACAATTTGTGTATAAATCTAAGTTATTATTGCTTGATTCTTAACATTCATCAAATGTTGGCAAGGGTAAAAAAAAAGACAACAAAAAATCTTTGGTTTGTTAAAACAATTTATTAATAAAGCCTTAACACTTAATGATACAATAATACTATATTTTGGTGGCAGCATTAAATCATAATAGATTAAATTGAAAAATTTCGGCCACCTACTTTCTATAAAATATTTTTAAAAAAATAATACTTTAAGCAAATCTTTGTTAATATAAAAAGAAAAAATATATCACCACGTATCACTTAATAAAATCAGTTACACATTTATAATCACCAACACATAATCAAATCTTAATAATAAAGAAAAGAAATAAAAGAAAAATATTAATAGCAGTCTTAATGGATATATTTCAACAATAAAACAAGTTTATGAAAAAAAAAAAAAAATAGTATTAACTAACTAGTAACTACTAGTATAGTTAGGGAAAAAACTAATGTTATGATTATAAAAAAAAAATAACATCCTGTATAAATATAACATTAAATCAATACTCATTATGTATTATCAAATGAACATTAAAAGCTCTTTGTTATGCATACAGATGACTGATTTTTAAAATAGATCAGTGGTAACATATCATTTGGATAATCTGAAACTTATAATATACACATATTTAAGAGATAAATATGTGTGTATATGAATATATACTCAGAAAATATGGTGAAAATAATAACTTATACAACTCTAAAATACATTATACCATCTTGTAACATCAACAATACATATTTTTTAAGTAACAACTAATTTGGTTATAACATACAATTGATAAATGTTCTCAATTATAAACAACTTATGTTAAATACTATATCTACAATCAGGTACTGAGTGATATTAAGTGGTAATATGCTTAAATACATCTTAATTTTTGTTAGATTTTTAAATTACTTTTTCTTGATGTTTTGTTTCTGATGTACTTATTTAATTTCAAAAATTACAGAATGGTTAATCAAAGCATTTTTTTGTTTTATATACTTAAAACTAAGAAATATTTTTAATTTATAATCCAAAAATTTATTTTATAAAATTAAGACTGTGTGGTAGTGATTAAGATTTTTTTATCACAATAACATAATAAGTATGCTAAAAAAAACAATTGAAAACATAATTACATTGACAGCAAACAGATATATGTGCCTATCAATAGATATGTTATTTTCTTTTATTGTTGTTAATTACAAAACAGAAAAAAAAATAAATAAGGCTGAAAAATGAAATATATAAAAGAATCTGACACTGTAACAATTTATTTCCTTTATATACTTATTGTTGATAAACTATACATTATTATACAAAAATTCAAAACGATCATTATGCAAAACATAATTGCTTGAGAAAACTGCACCTGAGATGTACAAGAAATTCAACTAAAGCTGGAGAAAGGCCACTATTGAGCTTGAAGGTAGGTAATACCATAATTCAAACAAAATTTTGATGATTTTACCACTACTACAAGAAAAATTGATAAGCATGGAGTAGAAAGCAAAGAACAGAAGGCTCATCTCAAGGCTAAAATATGATTTGGTAACTTCATGTTTGTTTAGGAAAAACTACACGAATTCCAACATAAAAAGTCTTCTTTTTAAAAAAAAAACAAATCATAAGAATAATAAATTTTAAAAAAAAATAGTAAAAAGATATAATTACTTTGAATTTCCTACTAAAAAAAAACAACAACTGGAATTAATGGTAATTGACTTTGGCTTCAATGTGAATACTTCCAACTTCAGTACATCAAGTATTGTTAACTTAACATTAAGATTCTATAAAAATAAAATTGCTCTAGGGGTGATTAAACTAAACAAAATAAAGTGAAAAAAACACTAATTTATGAATAAACAAAAACAAAAAATTATAGAAAAAGCTACACACATGAAATCAGTTCAAAATTTAATGTACTCACAATAATTAAAACTAAGTGCAGTAGCGGTTTTACACACAAGCAGAATTGGCACTTGCCTGAGGCAACAAAATTTTAGTGAATTTAAAAAAAAATCAAAGTATTAAAACTAGGTCCATTAAGCATATATAAATGATCTCCATTGGACCTAGAGTTCATGATGGGCGAGCGTCTTGGCCAGCTATAACGTTCTCGAGTCTAGCGACGCTCGTTCAAATCCGGCCTGATCGTACTTAAATTTATTTTGAGGCGGAGCCACGGACCTTCCTATGGGTGACAACAGCGAAATGATAAATTTACTAAGCATGTTCTTGATATCATAATCAACTCTTCTTAAACTAATTACACCAAACAAATATTTTATAACAAAATTGTATGTAACTCCATATAGATACTTTAAGGATAATTTAATAATCATCCTATGGCTCAACCAGAATAATTGGCAATTAACAATTTGTTTTTCCTTAATCCCAACACATTAATTACAAAATATTTCTCTCTATTATAAAAAGGTTTTTAGTGACTTTCATATTCTATTTTATTTTAGTATTAGGAGAGTAGGAGATAACAGGAGCTCAACAGTGCCCAGTCCTTTAGGCTCGATAGTGCTGCTCTCCTATGGCAATTATTTTACAAATTATACAGCTATTCATTTAGTTACATATGTGTTGAGCTCCTGTTACCTCCTAGTCTTTTAATACAAAATAGAGATTATATAATAAAAATATGTACATGAAATAGTACATATGCATCTGGAGGTGGTAGTTTGATTTAACCTGGGTGACTGAGGTTATTTTTCGATCTAGATATTTCCTCTTGAATACAATACATTAATTATTATATATATTATTTAAATTATATTAATCACACTTATATTATTATGTAATAGAAAAAGAAGCACAAAATAACATAAAATTAAAAATATTAGAAATAAAAGGTTCAAATAATTGTTGGGCTTATATGAATTTGGAAAAGTTTAATATAGATTATGGTTGCAAATTGCTAATAAGAAAATTTTTACTTATATAATAATATAAATTGGCAATAAGGCACAATGTATAATATAGATTTTAAAAAAAATTAAAAATCTGTCCGAACTGTGGTTTCGTACAGTTTATTTTATGTTAATAAAAAATAATACAATCTGAACTACAGAATACATGTAAATTAAAGTTATACACTTCGAGTAGAGATTAGTACAATTAAATGAACAGTTGTATAATTTGTAAAATCGGGATTGGTCCGCCATTGGGCGGACAAAGGGTACTCCCTACTACAAATATAATAAAAGGCTTAGTAAACCCGAAGGTTCAATGCTCATACAACCACTTGCTGTCTACATAGTTCCTTTCACCGACCCCTATCCAGATCCAACCTCTCAGTTTCACTTTTGTCTACTCCTCAGATGCTTGTCTTTTTTTTCTTTTTCTGATTACCTCCTTCCTCGTCATTCCTGACATACAAGGGGGTTGTTCTAGAGGTACAACAAAAACCTATTCTGACCAGGGTGGGAGGGTTGATATCCATTTCGTGGGTCCAACAGAAAATAAATTTTAATCTGCCCAGGCCGGATTTGAACCGAAGTCACTGGACTTGAGAATGTTAAAGTTTACACTTTACATTACACGGCCATCACGACCCCTCAGATGCTTACCTGTCAGCACTGCACATATTAACCTTTTGTATTATACATAACTTATGTATATCGTATATATATAGAGAGAGATGAAATTGTAATCTTCTAAATATATTTGGTTAATATTTTATAAGTTATAAGGTTGGGGCAAGACAAAATGTTAGTTTTAACTTAGTACCATACGAGTTCATCCTCGGGGAGACAACTAATTGTGGTCGAGCAATAGATTGTAAGTTGATTCCTAGATTGTAAAATCTACACTTTATTGTAAATTGGTCAAGAAAAAATCAATACATCAAGTAGCTCAAACTAATCTTTTGAATTTAGAACCGAGTCTTAACTATCAGTACAATAATCTCATCAGTAAATTTAACTAATTATTCTGTATATTGGGTATTTTTATCACAAACATAAATGATTATACATCATTAACCCCTATATTATTATTTTTTTTCTAAGAATGAGATTCCATCTTTATTTAATAAATATTTACAGGTTTTTAATAGGAATCAATAGACAAGGCAGAACTTAAGATTCAAGTTTAACTTTTTTTTAAGCATATACAGAGAAACCAAAAACTAAATTTGGGTAGACTCAATCTATTCATTTAGTATTTTAATCGCGAATCAAATTAATGGTTTATATTTCTAAAAATGATTTTAGTTCAATGAAGCAGGCACATACGACTATAAATACCAGAAACATGAAATTAAGTAATTTCCATAAATTATTTTTATAAAAGGATACTTAGATTAATGATGACGGAATAAGGCGAGCCATCATTGTACTTAAAAAATCTATAGGCTTTTATTTTTAAGAGAAAGTAAGGAAGTTTTCTCTTTTTAGATCCACAAGACACTGTAGTTACTTTGAACACTAATGACATAGCGAGCTTCACTTTTGTTTTTTAAACTTCCTATAAGATAATATTTTCTTATCTTTTAAATCTTAAAAATAAGTTTTGTAATTTTTTTACAGATAAGATAATAGATAGTTTCGGCTACAAAACAAAAATAATTTTAACGATAATTAATAATCAGATTAGTAATTAATATATATTTTTAAAAAATCCTACAATTATTAATGACATAAATAGTTCTATTATTATGAAATCTTCACAGCCAAGCACATAATGAAAACTTCACTGACCTCATATTCTGAAAAAAATCCCAAATTAGCTAACACTTCTTTCTAACACTCCAAACATAGGCAATTTATTAAACTCTATATGTTAGTAAACAGAAATATGCTAAACTCCAAACCATCAGAAGATCAACAAACAAAATTAAAATAAAAGAGTAAATAGCCAGTTACTACAATTTTCTCACCCGACCTTCAAATACTTAAACTCCTTTCTAATTTCTTTAGAATTGACATTAACTGAGTTGTAATTAAATAATAAATTGGTTACAGTTAATCACTACTTCTAACTTTGGGGGAAAATTGAACTAGAAAACTACTGATGATCAACAATATTTGAGTGACAACTCAATTTAATTTGTTATTTCCGAAACATCACGTGTAATTTTTATTGGTTTTGAGTTGAGACTTCTACATACATTGTTCATAGACATATCAACAAAAATAGCAAGAAAACACGTTCCATAAATAGCGTAAAGATAAATTGTTTACGATAAATTAAGTATGAAATAGTTTTTTTACATGGTTTTCAAAACTGTATAATTCCACGTTTCTGAAATAACCAATTAAATTTAACTGCATTATGATCTTTAATAATTAATTGAGACTGATATATTAAAATAAAGAAACAGAATAACATAATCAAGTTTAAATACTGTGGAAATAGTTAAATAAAATAATGGAAATAGTTTCTTAAAATGATAAAACATGTTTATTAACCTTTTGTCCAGAGCAGAACTATTAAAAGGCATTTCAGAAAAATGTATTCAAAAGTGTATTTAGTCAAACCTGGATTAGTGCTATCAGCATAAGTGGAATACCTTTAAAGTGATACAAAACTTGTAGTCCTCTCATTTTGGTCTAAACTAAACTCTTGAATTGAAATGTTTTCCCCTCCGTAAGTGGAATGAACAAAAGAAAACTAAATGATCAAACATTGAACAAATTGTTATTTGATAAAAGGTGGGACAAACAATGAAATAAACATTCTGTCCACTATGAGGAGTATGAGAAAGGCTTGGTTTTATGAAACAAGAAGTATGATTGCAAATTGTTTTAAGAAACTTGGGTTACTGCTCAAAACCACATGTGATAATGATGTACAAATATAATCTGAAAATAATTTTTTCAGACTACAGCAATAGGCTTGGGAAAGTCTTAGATACCAATGAGAAGCTTCTAGCATGTTTTAAGTTAGTTCATAATGGATAATGCTATGACAGTAGCTGGAGAGAGAAATTATATTCTATTAAAAAAACAAATTTTTTAATAGAATAAAAATAACAGAATACAGTTGATAATAATGGTTTAAACAATACCAAGTCCAAGATTTTCAAAGGGACTACCAGGAACCAAAAATTATGTAATAAAATGTGTTGAAAAATTGGAAATATTGATTGAAATGAGTAAAGGAACTGAGGATTAAATCTTTTATAAACGATATGATACAAAAAAAAATTAATGAAGGCCTAAAGTACAAAAAAAAAAGTAAATGACTACTTTCATTAATATAATGTGTATTGATTTCTTTTCATATTAATTATGTCCTTAATTAATAAAATTGTTATATTTATTTAAAATAAATGAACCAATAAATTATATTTTGCCTGGAAACTTTTAACAGTGGTATATACAATCATAATGACCTGGATAAGTAAAAGGTATCAGTGGAATAAATTGATAAGTGAAATTGAAGATTTGCAACAAAGAGATTTCCATTATCCAGACTTGACTGCATTAACCTTTTCACTAAATCAAAGCACAAAATTGATGATAAATCCGACAAATAAATAACAAAGTTCTGCAATTTATGAAGAAATAGAATATTTTTTTATAATTTAATGAGTTGAACTAGAAATAACTATATATATTCAAAACAAGTTTACTGTGAAATACATTTCTCAACTTAATTGATGTGAATATTTTTATATAGAAAGTATATGAGCTATTTAATAACAAAAAGCGATAACTCAATTATTTTCTAGAACCATTTTTGAAGTTATTATTATACGGCTGAAATAAATATATACTAAAATGTTAATTTTTACTGAAAACACTGATACAAAAAAGGAACACAGATCCCTCAGAAATTTTATCTACTGATCTCAAAGATTTTTTAGAGTTGTATTTTGTGAAATTCCAGAATTTAGAATTATCCCTTTTCGTTAGCTGGCGCTTCATATAGATCATTAAACAAAGCAGAATAAAGATCAGAGCAAAATTACAATAACATAAACAGAAATTACAATTTCAGCAACCACATCTTTACATAATCTAATAATATATTCTAGATTTAATAAATAAAAAAAGACAAAAAAAAAAAGTAACCAAGACAATATAATATATACATTGATAAAATAAACTTATTCAACTTTAATACAGATTGGATAAATAGCTAACAAATAAATTTGAATATTTAAAAAAAAGGAAGAAAGAATGGTTGTGCTTTGCTTAGTTCAAAAGAATGACCCTTAGCTACAAAACCATATCAACTACTAGTAATATTAAGTTATCATATTGTTGCTCTTTAAAGCAAGGCCACAGTTTATAAGCACTCATTTAATGAAAGTTGATAAATCAACAAGAAATGTAATAACTCTGAGGCCAATAATACAGAATAAAAGAAATGTTTAAAGGTAGATGCATGTTTTAACACTTTATCTACCTTTATAGAATTAAGACTAATCTAAGCATCTATACAATAGTATCAACTTCACAATCAAAAAGGTTTTTGAAATTCCAAAAGTATAAAAACAAAAAGAGGAGCTTAATTTTTGATTTGTTTTCATTAAAAAAAAAAAATATGTTAAAATTAAATTAATTATGTAAAATTATGTTTTAGTGGTGTCGTAACTAGAACAAGAATATTTCTTTCAATATAACAGCGTCACTTACCCTTTAACATGACAAAAAATTGATTGGAATAGTGGTGTAAATTCATTTCTATTTTGGATAAACTTGTTACATTACCCCTTACTTCCAATTCATATTCGAACATGATATTTTAATACTAATATTGCTTACTTAGTAAGGAACTTTCCAGCTAGGCACATAAAGAATACAGTGGTACTAATTAAAAATCTATGTAGAAGAGAAAAACAGTAATGTGAAAACAAATCATAAGATTTTAATATTCGAGAAAAATATTTTTTCTTAAAATATCATTCATTATCAAATCTACGAACCTTAACCCGCTGTTTGTAATGATATTCCTTTAGATAACTTTTAAGAGCTTTCGGAAGTTTTAGCTGACTTATTCCATCATAAGATATTTTACTGCATATAACAGCCCTAGCAAGATGTTGTAATGGAAAAGCGAAATTTCTGTGTAAAGGAATAGTGAGCATCGGTTCAAAAAACATACAACAAGATGGGTCTTTATAATGCTCAATGAGGCCACAAACTGTTGGTGAAGAATACACACCAGGATCGTGTGAATCAAAACTGAACAGATGTTTCCATTGCTCAATTCTAGCATGCAATGACCGTCCATACTTTCTGAAACTTACAGAAAACAGATATTCTTCTTGGGCAGAATCTCTTAACAAAAATGTTCCTTCTGGTTTACCTTCTAGCAACCGCTCTGCTTCATAACGATCCATTTTACCCCAGTAAAAAGAACAGATAGTGATCTGGAGCAGATCAGGGACAAGGCAATGAATATAGTCAACCTGTGTATGAATAACCCTTTGACAATCAAGCTGAGATAAAGCAGAAAGTGCAGCAGAATGAAGGAGAGCTGTCAAACTGTCAATGTTCATATCTTGGGGGCAAACTAACTGAATATGCTGGGCTGGTCTGAATCCAGGAGGAGGGTCCACACCTTCAGCCATCTCTCGAGCTCTTTCCAGTCTAGCACGCTCATCACAATCTTCTAATGAATATTCATCAGTAGTTAACTTTTCAAAGTGATTTTGAAATTCATCATCCGATTCACTGCTCATTCCAGAATATTGACCTTGAGTTGTCTCAAAAACTACTCCAGCACCTAAGTGATGATCTTCAGTTCTTCTGTAACCAGTACAAACACATGACTCTAATCCTATATTAGGTTCTGCTATATCAGGCTCAGAACTTCCACCACTGCTATTGCTTCCACTCTTAAGTCTAGCACAATTGAACCTTAAAACCCAATGGGGTCGCTTTTTCTTACCACTACCAGAGGCTGATTCTTTATTCTTAGATCTTTTTGTTCTTTTCGATTTCTTATTTTCAAGTAAGATAGTTGGAGGTGAACTGTTAGGTTGATGTGTGGAACAGCTAGCCCCCGGATCTATAATATTACCATTTTGCTCCTGTTGTCGAAGCTCAGAGCTAATATAAATCCTTTCAAATCTTTCATTTAAACCTCTATTCTGTTCTGAGTTACCATTACTATCACGGATCCCACCACAAGCAACAGAATTAGATGCAGTATTATTAAGGCACACACCTACACTTTCCACAGAAATATGTATTTCATTAACATCTTTTTCTTCCATTATACCAAAAATTCCTTTCAAATCACTAAATTTCTGTCCCATTATCTTTTTAAAAAACAAAATATAAGGCCTATATTAGTAAGGCCAAAAACTCTCTTGTAGATCATTATTATTATTACCAATGTCTTCTTTTGATAATTGGCACTATATAAAAAGTTTCAATCAAGTAAGATACTTAAAAGGAAACCATAATGATAGCATTACTGCTACATCTTTTATAGAACGCGATATATTTTACACAGTTTTCTAAAGTTTGAAGATGAGGAATAAATTATATAAACTATTAGTCATTAAAGAAACAATTGTAGCCAACCATAAAACTGGGCTACATAAAAATAATGAACTTAATCACCCATTCGCCAAATGACACACTTGACACCATTTTGGATAGCATAGAAGTTCAAGTCAATGAAGAAGAAATCCTGATAAAAATGAAGGTATCAATTATCAATGATTCATTGAAAGTAATCGGTTATTATTGAAAGATTCCAGGAGAAGTCTTAAGTTAGTCAATAAGAAATTAATTTAACGGATTATTGATGTATGCCTCCCTATATCTTTATCCATAAAATCGTTTTTTTTTTTCTCTTAAGCCTCTTGACTTATTTTACTTCCGACATAAGTCTTCTAGCAGCTACAGGGCTGTTGCAAGCGACAGTTGTATTCGTTTGGTTCTCTTTACGATATCCAAGGAGCATGTGATTCACAAGAAACGGACGCTATCACATTCATTCCCTCTTTCTCAGGCTCATTCCTGAAGGATGGTTGGCATCCTTTTGCAGCAATTCCCATCCTGTTTTTATGTTTTATTCCATCCTGCAATGGCCATAGGATTGAGGATTATTAGCCCTATAGCGAATTCCCAACTTGCAGAAGCAGAAGCTATGGTGTAAGAATCTCAGGGTGGGGACGTTACCGTCCTCAAGGGAAATTGAAGTCGTGCCGTAGAAGTATTGATCTGAGCAACCGAGTAATTAAATCCCGCGAACAGGATTTGAACCTAAGATATATAAATTTTTGCAGGCGCATTAACTTGCTCGACCACCGCGGCCCCAATTTCTCCCTTACCTTGGGCCGCTTTTCTCTTATCAAAGCAACTATTTCCTTTGTAAAAGCATTCCCCCTAATGAAACTTCTTCTTTGATTGTTTTTTGTCCATAACATCGGCTAGTTCATTACCTGAATAACCTGCTAAACACGAAAATTGTATCTTACATCCAACACTCTCCAGTGTTTTTATATGTCTCACTGTATCTGTGACCGGTTTAGTTGAAAAATAATTTTTCATTGTCTTAAGAGCAGATCCTGAGTCTGTGCAGATATATATTTCCTGGTTATTATGGTTGTGATTAGGAATAGAACAATTTATAGCAAACAGTTCTGCATGGTAACAGGTACAATATGAGAGTAATAAAGTCAAATTAGATAAAGCAGATTTCACTTTAACTGGGCTCCATCACAATCATGTCATGAACCTTTCCATATTCCCATCTCTCCTCTTCAACCCCTCCCAAAGATAATTTAGGAGTAATTAATGCGACAATTGTGAAGGAAATTCAACGTACTTCATATTTGGATTGTGTAGCGGTTGCTTTTTTAACAGGCTAAGAGTTATTCATCTCAAATGATTTTTAACATTTTGTAATTTTCAACGAGTGGTGGGCACCTGTTGGGTCAGTAAATCTGCTCTACCATTTTAGTTGTACCTGGTGTTATTTTTTCTATTTTTCTTGTTGCTTATTTATCTTTCATTCGATTTGAACAAGTTTATATCTGGCCTCGAAATCCCTTTAAAATAACTTCACTAGGTCTGGGCACCTATCCACTCGTTTGTTATATATCTGTCCGTCTGAAATCTCTCTTGCACACAACACAAACTGGTACAATAAAATAATAACTAGTAAAACCATAAGTAATGTGCGCAAGATTTCGATCTCGATTTCGTTGATGAGCTGAAAAAAACTGCCCACCATCATAAGTCTAGATTCATTGATGAAATATCTCCTCATCCTCCGTATATGTAAGAGCCATCTTCCAACTGGAAGAATATCAATCCGACCGGGCGTAGAATTAACGAACCAATCCCGTGTACTTTAATCGAGAATCATGATATGGTTTTTCGAGGATGTCAGTAGTCCCCAGAGGTTTTGTCCATGAAAGATTATCATTTCGTGAAATAATTTATAGGTTCTCGTACGCCTACTGACACTAAGCAGTCATAATCCACTGATATAGACTAGTTTGTCAATGTTGATGAACCTGATTAAATTGGTGAGAAGGACACTTCCAAATTGGTCCCAGAGGGATCGGCTATGGGTAGCCTGTTGCTGCATCATGGATACCATGGTCCACAGTCATGAGAGATTAAATGACCTCTCCTGGCTTTCAGTGCACTTGAAAGTAAAATATGTCTGTAAGAAGACAGCTTCGTGCCGTCAAAGATCTACATGGTATATAGTGCCAACCGAAAATAATAATAAACATACATATATAGAAGATTGGTTTAAATACAAGATTTTTTTTGTCTATTTAATAAGATAATTCCTATTTGAATTATTTATAGTCCATTAACTTTTAAGTGCAAAACTCAAAATTTTGAAATTCTGTCAAACACTGTCAATCTCTTTGTACAGATTTGTTTACAATTTTTATCAGGAGTAATATCGTTTTTATCACCGTCTATGTTATGCTATCATTGATGGACAAAACATGATTATTACTCGATCTTATGTAGCAATAATATTCACTTCAGTAATTTCTCTTTTTATTTTTTGTGAATTTGTTGTTTATTATGTCTCCCTAATCCAGGTGAGATCATCCAGTTCTCTTTATAAAGGAAAACCCAAATATATACTTGATTGTTTTCGAAATTTTTAATTTATTTTATTACCTAGTGTTCCTGGCCTACCTTGGATAAAAGCACTGCTGATCCTAACATACAATCAGATGGGGAACCACTTAGAGTTATGTTACTTGCTGATACTCACCTCCTTGGACCAAAAAGAGGACATTGGTTTGACAAGTTGAGAAGGTTTGCTCACCTTTTTAAAATTCAAATATTTAACATTTATCAGTAAACATTTCATGATATCTTGATACTATTCCTGCTATTACTTAAAATAACAAACTTAGAGAGTTCAGCTACTCATATAAAAATACCTCTGTTGACATCCTCACAATTTCCTTCATTTTGGGTACCATTTTATTATGGCTATGTTTCCAATATTAAATTGTTTTTTCATCTTATGACAGTATTTTTTCTTCATGTGTAACTCTGATTATAATGTAGTCCCTAAATAACCCCTATAGCATCAGTTGACCTCAGCGAATCCTTATGAATATGTTTCTATAGTGCTTCCATTCAAATGTTCATTTGGTGCAGAAAGTTAATTGATAAGCTTTTTATAGACTTTATTCTCCTATTATTGATTCATAGATATATTCCTGTTCTATTTTGGCATTTAAAATTTTCAAGGAGATTAGTATCACCTTTAGGGCAGTTATTCACAGTTCTATAAGATCATTGAAAATATTTTAAGATGAATAACTATAGTGTAGTTGTAAAATATTCCTTTGATTGTCAGAATTATCTAGCATGAAACCTCTACCACAAATTCCATTCCTAATATTTAATGTTTCTGATAACAATAGTTATATATTATGTTATGTATCAAAAATGAAATCTCTGTTTATATTTTACATTGTAAATTCACATAATTGGTTGTTTGATTGTTAATATTTGTTTTACTGTATAAAATTGACTGTGATCATTTTTGTAATATTTTAGAGAATGGCAAATGCAGAGGGCTTTTCAGACTGCTATGTCTCTACACCAACCTGATATTGTTTTTATTTTAGGTAATTTTTTTTTTTTAGTAAATTACACGATTGTTTTATTTTTTATAAAATTCTGATGAATAATTGTTATAGTTGCTTTATCGAAATGTAATACACTTGACTTCTACGCTTGAACTAATGTAGCTTATTATAAGGCTGATAATGTTTCAAAAATTTTTAAATTCAATTTTGTGAATATTGAATCTCTTTGCAACTTTTCATAGCCGGTTCTCCATCATACTACTACAACTTATAAAGGATCTTCGGTTCAGTACTTGGTAAGGAAGTACTATCTCTTGATCGACAGCTGTACAAGGAGGTGGTTTGGTCAGGATCATGCTCAACTATCAGAGTTTTTCCAAATTAAGAATAATTACTTTACAGAGGCTTTGTGTAATCTGGTAGGGTCTCCAGACCATAGGGTTAGTCAGTACTTGTCTGGTAGCCGGTCGGGAACGATTGCTATCTGCCAATGTTTATAACCTCAACACTGATAATTCTGATAAGGCACTGATAATTCCTATCTTCATATTCATATTTATTGTATTATAATCATATTATTGAATTTGTAAACAAAAACAAATGTAATAATAAAAAAATACTTTTAATTTACAACATATATATTTAGTAGACGAAAACAAATGCAGTAATAACAAAACAGTTTGATTTGAAATTGAAATAGACTAAAAGAAATATAATAATTCTCACAACAATAAGAAAACACTTTAATATTTAAAATGGGGAGGAACGGGTGCTCTTCTCTGTGAGTCTAGAACCACAAAAATTCACATAAATATGAATAGAGGTGTTGTCTGGCAGTTCCTGTATGTTTATTATTTTTCCACTTAGCTGAGCCCCATAATCGTTCTATGTGTTGAGTATGGACACCACTTGAGTAAGGGACTTTTCAACACACCACATCAGATGGCAAGAAAATGACGCCCACAAGATTTACCTAAGCGAACTATGTCCGTAACCAACAGACACTTGTACTGGTTGGCCTGGCAAAAGAGGTCTGCAGGGAAAATCTGATTCGTTTGGTTTAGTGCAGGCAAGGTGAAATGTTGACGAGACGATGGCCAGCAGGTCGTCAACTCACCATCAGTCTTGGACATGTTTGCTTTACATGCACACACATGTTACATTACTATTTGCAATTTTGTTTTTATTTTTTTATATCTTCAAGTCTATGTTTTTGTTGCTCTTATTTTATTAATATACTTTGATAATAATTTTATTTTTGTTTATGAGAACATGTTAGGTTTGATCTGTTTAGAAATTCTAATTTATGTATTTTTTATTTTTTCTCACAATTGGAACATTCTTTTCGTTAACTAAATTTTATATTTTCTGTTTTCGTTCATTATTAATATCTGGGAAATCTTATATACTCATTGTTCCTCTCAATAGAGATATTATCAATAGTTATGATCTCTGGGCTCATATTGGCTTCAACTACTGTAGAAATATTCTTATTTTTAACTGTTTCTGTCCGTTTACCAAGCCACCCCTCCTTCTTCCATGACTAATATCCTTTTAACCTGCCATGTCAACGCTCAGTCTCTCTTAGCCCATTTTTATGAATTTTATGACTTTTCTCCATAACTTCTACTACTTAATTTCTGTTTCCGAAACCTGGTTGAAATCCACAATTCCGTCTTCCCAGATCCTCCTACCTAACTATACTCTCCTTCGTCATGACAGAGTAGATCACACAGATGGTGGAGTAGGTCTCTTTGTCCATGACAGTCTTAAATCCAAAATACTTCATTGCTCTTCCTTAACCGATTCTCCACACATTGAATACCTCTTCGCCGAAATCCTCACAACCTCATCTGCCATTCTGTTTGCTGTCATATATAGCCCTCCTAGAATTCTTTTTGATGAATCATTTGAGATTCTCTGTACAACTTAAGCCCTTTCTACTCAAATATCATCCTCTCCGGAGACTTTAAAACCAATTTACTGACGCCATCCTCTGATTATTCTTACCTAACAAACCTCTTTCATTCTCTCAGCCTTTACATAGTACCCTACAACCCATCATATTCAGTACTCAGAGTCCTGACTCGATCTGATTATTCTAGATTCCTCAGTCAAATTCCTTGCCGCTTCTCAGCACCCGGTCCCATTTCTATCTTCCCATGGTCTTATCCAGATCTCTTTCAATATCCTTGTCCCATTCTTTTCTTCCCGAACAATATCCTTCCGAAACCTATATTCTCTCACTCACAAAACATTGTCAAAAGATCTTGACAATATCCAGTGGGATCCCATCTACTCCTCAAAATCCATAGACACCATGGTAGAAACCCTTACCACTCATCTTCACTCTATCCTTGACCGACATGCCCCTCTTATCACAAAAACCATCCGATATCCTCCCGCCCCTTGGCTTACTCCTGCTTTGAGAATGTGTATGAGAGAAAGAGATGCTACAAGGTGACAGTTAAACGAATTCGACTTCTGATGATTTTCTCTCCTTCAAACAGCTTCGAAACAGCACTCAATCAACAGTAAGCCATGCCAAATCCTGTTATTACCATCATTCCTTATCCAACTCTCCTAATACCAAGGCCACGCGGACTATTCTTAGAAAACTGACCATTGGTAATACACCTCAGTCCCAGTCCTATTCCGTTTCTGCTGATAATGCTTCAACACTCACTTTGTCTCCTGCCCTCTTGCTACTTCTCCCACGTCCAGTCCGACTCCTATGTTTTCTTCTTTTAATCCAGATCACTTCTTTTTTTTCCCACATTACTCCTGATGATCTCCTTAAATCCATTCAGAAGTACCATACCAATGGATACGGTCCCGATAACAACCCAGTCAGACTGATTAAAGCCACATTGCTATCCATTCTTCAGATCCTTTATCATATATATAATTATTCTCTTCAAAATGCTTCCTTCTCTACATCCTGGAAAACTGCCCTAGTATGGCCCTTGAAGAAGACATCAAACCCATCAGCTCTTAATGATTTCCGACCGATTTCCCTTCTTTCAAGCCTCTCAAAACCTTTAGAGCGATTAGTCCTATCCCAGCTATCCCATTTTTTAGAGGACAATAATCTCCTAAATCCCTACCAGTCCGGTTTCAGGCCTGGTTATTCTACTCAGTCTGCCCTAATCAAAATTTCCCAAGACCTTCACACAGCCATAGATCAGCAGAAACTAACCACGCTTGTTCTTCTTGACTTTTCCAAAACTTTTGATTCAGTAGACCACAACATTCTCCTAACCAAACGTAAAAATATCTCTTTTTCTTCTAGTTCCCTTATTTGGTTCCAATCCTTCCTTACTGGTCACTCCCAGTATGTTGTAATTCCTAATAACTCCCCATCAGAATCTCTATCTGTGTCCAGAGGCGTCCCACAAGGCTCCCCACCCTTTTCTTCATCTATATAAATGACCTATCCTCTGTCCTGCATTGTCATTACCACCTGTATGCCGACAACATTCAAATTTACCTCTCCTTGAGGTAATCTTAATAAATCTTGATCGGATTCCCCTCACTCCTCAAATCCTTCCCGGTATCCCCCAATCTCCTCTTGAACGACTCACCTATTTTATTCCACACTACCATTAAAAAACCTAGGTGTTACTTTTGATCAAACCCTGTCCTGGAAACTACACATCTCCCAAATTTCCCGTCGCACTATATCCACCCTAAAACAGTTCAATCATCTACTTTATCTCCTTCCATATAAGTCCCGTCAACTCCTAGTTTCCTCCCTTGTTTTCTCCAACTTCGACTATGGCTGTAGGTTTACGGTAGACTCTCGAGAAATTTCGAGGTCAAACTTAAACGCTTAATGAATTGCGCATTACGATTTGTTTTTGGAATTTCAAGGGATACGCATATTACCCAGTATTACACCGAGTTAAGGTGGCTCTACCCATCCTATCATTGTCAGTACTTCCTAGCCACCTTTCTGTACCAGATCATTAGAACTCATCGACCCTCCTATATTTTTCACATCTTACAATTCAAATACTCCATCCAATCCCGTCCCACTAGATCTCGTACTTCCAACCTCTATCCTCCTCCTCATTGAACTGCTGGGTTTGACAAATCCTTTGCAATTCAAGCAGCCTCCCTCTGGAATTCTATCCCTGCTGATATTTGACACGCACAATCAGTTTCCTCTTTCAAAGCTAAGAGAAATATCTAAGTACCCCCTATTTAAGAGACTACCTCAATTTATTTAGGTTATTTTAGTTTTCTATGTCTGTCTTATATATATATGTTTAATTTTCTTTTTCTTTTCTTTATCTTCTTCAGTATTTTTATTTTTAATCAACTGCTATTGTAAATATATAATTTAATTGTGACCACACAGATATACAATCTGTACTTATAATTTGTTCTAAAGGGACAACAGTCCCAGAATAATAAAATATGTTTTCATCTCACTTGATGGATCAACAAAATTATACCTGTGATTCACCTGGAAATGATTATAGTTTGCTTCATTCAGTTGTTGGGTGTTGTATCCTTTCCAACTGTCAGAATAAATGGTGCTTCCCTCTTGTATATTGTTTTTAATATCTTGTAATGAAGTTGTTGCCCTTCTGTCATTTATTTTGATGATAAAACACTCGTTTGTTTCTCGGCAAACTCTGCCAAACATTAAAATTTGTTCCACATTATCATAGTTGCCTTGGATAGTTTCAGGTGCTCTTTGCGACACAGTATCGTTTTTAAATTATGGGTCCAGCCATAAATTAATTTTAAAACAGTTAAAAACAAAATCCTCAACCCCTCTAACCATTATCCTTTCCTTATAGAAATGTTTTTGTTACAAGTGGTACGAAAGCATTTCCATTCCTGTCTACCTGTTCATTTGATGACCTTCTTTACACAATTTCAAGTTTGGAATTATCTCAGCGTTTTGAAAATATTTGATAGCCTCTTCTTCTGAAGATGGCAATTCCCAGAATGTAACAACATCCATAATTTGAAGAAATTCACACAAATGCTACAAAAATAAACAATGTAACAACTCGCAGCTTACAATAGGAACAAAAATAAACAATGAAATAACTCACAGATTACATGAGATAAGAAGGGAGGTTATGTGATGTAACATTAGATATAAGGGAGGTTTCGTCCCAACCAGCTATCAGACAAGTACCAGTTGGTCAACCACTGCACTGATGCAATAGAGGTAAAGTTAGTACTAATGTCTGTGATAAAGGTACTGTACAAATGTGATTAAGGTACTGTTCAAATGTGATAAAAGTACTGTACAAATATCATTCCATGTTGGTTGCTGGCACACGATCTCATGATCACACCATAAATGGGAAGAAAATCAAAATATGAATTGATTTTCAAAGTTAAAATTTAAACATTTTATTCTATTCTTCGTTTTCAGATCAGTTTTGTCATATTTTAACAGCAGATGATTTTTTTTAACAGTTGGTAAGTGAGTGTATAGTTCCATACAAAAGACACCACTAACGAGGAAAAAATTAATCATCAACTATTATTCACTTCTAAAATTCTATTTTTAAATTATAATTTCATGAGCATATGTTTGGGATGTTATTAGGTATTAAAAGTCAAAGTCTTGTTTGACCCATAACTTCTACCTTGTAGGAGATTCAATATTCTTAAATTGAAAAAGTGGATGAAGTAAACTGCAGGTTAAAGCATTCACGAATTACTTTAGTTATCTGACAGTATAGTTATATTAGATGCACTAATCTGCTTAGATTACTGAATAAGCATTGATCAAGAGGTGTATTTGTACAATAATTTATTACTTATATAGTTTTTGATTGCATACAACAAATACAAAGAAAATAAATAAAAACATACTGATACATCGAACCTTTTAGTCTTTAGGATTTTTGAGGAGTGTTATTTTTTTTTTAATATAGTATGTATACTACATTATTATACTATATTCTACAGAATTAACCAATGACTAATTAATTTCAGGGGACCTGTTTGATGAAGGATTATGGTGCAGTGATTCCGAATTCGCTGCTTATGTTGAACGATTTCATACATTGTTCAGAACCCCTGAGGGAACAGAATTATTTGTTGTAGTGGGTAATCATGATATTGGATTTCATTATGGGTAAAATACTTTACTAATCAACCATATATTCAGTGTCGGCCTTAGATATTTAGCAACCCTGCACAATTATATCATGGAACTCCCTATCTCCCTCCCTTCCCAAAACAATTTCTTAAGCTATTGTATATTATTTTATATTTCTCCAATTGATTTGCTTTATTAATAGGATAAAATGAATTTATCTATACTTTGTAATTTTTATAATTTTTTACTATTGGTTGGAGTCCTAACAGGTTAGTACCTTTGGTGTGGGTTTAGGTTGCTGGGCCCTAAGGTTGGCACTGTATCTATCTAATCTTTTTTTTTATTATTTGATAGTGTTTAGGTTATTTTATTCTACTTTATATTCGATTTACTGACTTAATTTAAGGTATTACTGAAAATAAATATTTTCTACTTATTTTCCATTATTACTACTTAAATTTGGAAGTATGAAAATAAGGAAAGACAAGAAATAATTTAACTACTTAATAAGCAGACTAGTTTTCGACTGATTTTTGAGATTCATTCTATGGATCTGTCTTAAAATAAATTTCAACCTGCCCAGTCTTGACAAAATAAATTTCAACCCGCCCAGTCTTGACAAAATAAATTTGAACTGACCCTGCTAGATTCCAGGTTGCTAAGTTATGACGCATTAACATTCTCAACCATGGTAGCCTCGTAATGATGTGTTGATATATGTATTAGTAGGTGCTGTTATGCTTAACATCAGACAAGCTTAATATTCTATCCTCTTCTATATTTGCACTTGTCCCTAAACAACAAGAATAAGTTTCTGTTACACTTTTTAGTTTAATCTTGATAGGTATTTAATGTTTAATTTTTAAATTACAAGTTTTCTTATTTTTTAAGTAAATACTTAGCAAGATTAAACTAAAAAGAGTAACAGAAACTTATTCTTGTTGTTTAACTAGTGCAAGTATAGAAGAGGACAGAACATTAAGCTTGTCTGATGTGAAGCATAACAGCATCTACTAGTCCATATATCACCGCACAGTTTATTTTTTAAATTAGATGTTTTCTTGATTTTTTACTGAGCTTCTAATGCTCAAGGTCCCAGGTTCAAACCCGGCTTATGGCAGATAAATTATTTATTCTGTTTCATTGGCCATGGATCGTCTTTGGGGTCAGGAGACCCTTCTGGAGCACACCCAGCCTCTATTAAGTGGATATCCTTTGGGGAAAACCTCGTCGTTGAGCGTGGTCTTGGTCAAATCATCTCCTTCCACAACTGTTGACCAACAAACAGTATTTTCCCTAAATAGTACTGAACCCAAGACCCTTATGGGTTGTAGCACTGTAGGTTTCTTTTTCTTGATTTTTGGTATATGACAGCAATCCTATCAACTTAAAGTTTTAATGTTTTGTGATCTTATATATTTTCTTAATGAAGCTGTATTTTTCATAATTAATCTTACTAATTTTCACCTTTATTAAAAAAAGTTTAAATTATGATTTATAATATTAAAATAAAATTAGACAGAGATTATGTAAATCCTTTAAGGTTTGCTATTCAAAATAGTTCAGATTTAGTTCTTCCATCTGCAGGACGGTCTTGATAATCCAAAGGCTAGATTGTATGATGGGCTAGATGGCCTGTTCAGATTATCAAAGTTTAAACTTAAAATAATGGAAAAATGCACAAGTTTAGAATGTGCATGTATCATCTTTTAAATATGAACACATTGCAAACAAAATATTTCTGGAAATAATCATATAATGTACTTTGAGTCTCTGATTTTGTTGCTAAAGAAAACGCCTGATCTCATAAATTCCTTAAAAGTATGATGTAGTCGACATAACAATTCTTCCACTTCTAGCAACTATGCCGACGTTTCGACCTGAAGTTTAGACCTTCATCAGGGCTAAGAAAATAACCATATAACAAGGTATGAGAAACATAAGTAGTGATGGTAAAAAAAATAAATAAAAAATATTAAAAAAAATAAATAAATATAAAACAAAATGAAATTGTTAGAATAATAACAATAGTAAGAACTAAAAGATAAATAATATTAACCGTTACAAAGTGTTTTAAAAATTAATATATAAAATGTATCCCATACCTTTTTTTAAATTATCAAGCCAAACTTAACTGGCATTAAAATCGGCTTTGTCATCTTTCTTAAAGAAACTCTCCATGAATTGGATGCCCTTTTAATCTCTGCTGCAAAAACCATATACAAAGGGATTCCTCAACTTGTGAATGACCAACTAATTTTAATGGTTTCGATTACCAGAATACAATTTCAACACTACCACATGAAGCAATTCCTGTAATATGCACTGAGAAGTTTATAAGTCAAGTTTAACTTATTTTTCTTTCTTGTTTGAATTACCAGAGGTTTGGACTATCAAGACCATTCTGTACTTCTCTATCATTCTTACTGGTTAATCTTTCAATTCATGGACAGAACTGAATTTTTGAATCACTTTACTTTTATGGAATCAAGGTCTGGTTTATGTAGTTATAGGTCACTTTTTTAGTATAAGTTATGAAATAACTTTTTCCACTGGACTTTATTTCTTTAATGTTTAATCACATATTATCAATAAGACAAGTGTTACATGTTGCAATTAACCATCTTTTTTGCTACAAATGTTATATACATGTGTTTTGGGTATATGATCATGTACCCAAAACAGAACAGCGATTATCAATTTGATAGGCAACATTATCAAATAAAAGTATTGGCCCCTTTTATTTCACCAAAACAAAGAAAGTGCTCTTAGCTTTTCATGAAAATATATAAAAAATTTACTTTATGATAGTTTTTATCTGATTTAAAAACATGATATAAGCATGGATTAAGGGCCTCATCGCTATAATATTATTGATCTTTACTTGATATATTTCATCCCTTATAATGTGGTGCTTTAATATTTCTTATTCTTTATAAATCTTTAAAACCCTTTTTGATCATTTTAATTTTATTTTTATTGATTTCCATTTTTCAGAATTAGCCCATATCTGAAGAAAAGGTTTTCTGATGCTTTCAATTCACCATCAGTTCAAATGTTTTCTGTTAGAGGAATTCATTTTGTTTTGATTAATAGCATGGCTATGGAAGGTGATGGTTGTTTTCTGTGTCGATCAGCTGAGATTCAACTTCTAAATCTGTCGAGTAAGATTCATATTTTATAGGTGTCATCACTATTTTAATTTTTTTATGTAAGATGTGTTTAAGCTTTGTAACATAAGATTATTTTTTTTTTTTACTAGTATGTGGTTCTGTTTTTACAAGTATATCCTAACTGCCTATGGAGACCAGCCCTACTTCACTTTATTAGTACAGCGCTCTAACCACTGTGCTGGTCAAAATCATTTCATTATTTACCTTTAATCATCCATAATTACCATTAACCAATATTCCAAAATACCCAAATTTTGATTATATCATTTCATGGACTATGTCACTGTGTACTATGATGTTACTTAAGCCCATACATGTGGTAGTTCACTTCATGTTGGCTTTTTGATCAACTGCATAATTTTATGATTCCATGACTACGTTGGAAACAGTAACATAAATGAGGTCATTATTTATCTGTTTGAAAATACTAGTGCAGTTGATGATTCGCGTTTGAAAAAAAAAATTGAATTATCCCATGTTGTTTCTTAAGCACAGTATTATAGACCAGATAATTTCAAAAGGTGCTTTTTTGAACATGAATTGATCAAGTTATAATCCATTGCTGTCCATTAATAACAATTATTACTTCTATTTCATTTATCACATCTATTTTTAGTACATTGTAATCTTGAGAATTCTTTGCTGAGGGAAATGAAATGTAAAGATATTAAGTACTAATAGATATTGTTTGTAAACATATTAAGTATAAACAGGTATTGTTGTCCATTATTATCGACCATGAAGCAACCTTTTACAGAAATGCCCATATTTTAAGAACATATATGTCCATGCTCATAAAGCAATGTTTATCAATGTCATGAGTTTTATTCCTTCCAAAGAGGTTATCTCAGTAGTCAAAGCATTTGTTATAAAGCTTGTGTCAGTATCACAGGCCAGGAAGTGATTCCATATATCACTGGCCACAAAAAAGTCCATGTAGACCATTAATGAAAATTAGAGTTCTATATTTTAAAAGAAAATCATGCATCTTATTGAACTGGAAATGGTAAATAAAAAAATATTTAATATTGGTATTTATCAATAACAAATAGAATTTGTCATGATTAGAACCATTTTAATCGCTTCGGTGGTACATATACTAAGGATTGAAGGTTACCATTCACAGATTTTAAGCTGCTAGAATACATTAAATTCTATTTTTTTTATAAAATTATTTGTTTATCATAGCATTTTACACCCTTAATTTGAGATTAATAAATATTTTTTGAGATTTCAATATGTTTGTAGGTATGTAGAAAGCTCGCATGTGGTCTATTTTTGTCTATGGGGTAATTAATTTTAAAAATTCATTTTTCCTCCTCAAAGTGGTTGGAATCCAAAATTCATTCTAAAGATACCTAGAAGAAGGATACTTTTTCAGTTTTCAGCTTATATCATGGAAACCATGGGTCCTAGCAATGAGGATATTCTATATAAAATTAAATCTTACAAAATTGATTAATTCATTTCTTTTCTTTTTTTTTTCTATTTTGTGTAATTTCTTAGATATCTGTCCTCATAATTTTCTGGTTTATAAAAAAAAAAATAAAAAAAAACAATTTTTACCTTGCATTTTATCTTTATCTGACTAGGTTGTTCTTTATCTTCTCATTATAAAAAAAAAAGACAAGTAAGAAAGTTGTTGAACATTAAAGTTATCTCTTATTATTATAATATTTTACTATTTTATCTTCATCCCTTCAAAAGTTAGAGCAATAATATATTACTTTATTTATAAATACCAAGATTTTCCAGAAAAACTTAACTTTCATTTTTTTTATCATTCGACTGCTCAGATTCTGTATATCAACTAATAAATATGAATGTATGTACATATATTGTAATTTATATGAGTGGATTCATATAAAAAAACACAGACATCTGTCATTTTCAGAAAGTAAAGAAAAAGTCAATTTTTGTTTTATAGGTTCAATTCAAACTGTTTCTAATGATTTTATTTAAGAATGTTCAAGTTGAATCATGAAAAAGTCATTATAATTAGTTTAAATTGAAGCCACATTTCAGAAAATTGGCTTTTTCTCAACTTTTTAAAAATGACAGATGTCAGTCTTTGCTATTAAGCCACTCATATATTTATAAATTATATAATGATATGTAATGTGTATATAAGTGCTACGCAGAGAAGACATGCTGTTTTACTTTCATTCACCTATATATGAAATGTATAGTAAGGGAAAGTATTGCAATCGCCAAAAGTTTTTAATTCGAGTTTTCAACAAAAATACACATTTTAAGGTCTTCTTCTTCTTCTTTATCTTCCTCTTCGTGCCATTACTAGCGTCGAGGAGCCTCAATCCAATGCAGCCATGCCTCTCGGTCCCTACTAAGCCATCTCATTTCCTGGAGGGTTTTGCCTCTCTTCTCTCCAATCCGCTGCATATATTCCTGATAGGAAATTCTGGGGCAGCCCCTCAGCCTCCTCCCAGTGGGTCGAGCTTCCAGAATCTTCTGTGGATCTCTCTCCTCCTCCATCCGACAAATGTGGCCAAACCACTTCAACTGTCGGTTTTCCAGTAAAGTCCTTAGCTCCGCCACCTCCAGGTCCTCTCTCATGCGTTCATTTCTGAGGCGGACTCTCCTGGTCTTTACAGCAGCTCTCCGCAGAAAATTCATCTCGGCTGCTGTCACACGGCTAACTTGCTTGTCCAGCATAATCCAGCTTTCGCTTCCATACATGAGGGTTGGGAGGTATACCGACTTGTATATGTGCCTTTTTGTTTCCTTGCCAACTTCCCTGTGCCCTACTATAATGTTGCTGATAGGGTAATATACCTGATTGGCTTTGGATATCCTATTCGCTACTTCTGGGTCAATCTTCCCCTTGTTGCTGATAATTGTACCCAAATAGGTGAATTCTTGCACAACTTCAAGTACCTGCCCGTTACAGATCAGCTGGACGTCTTCTTGTTCCTCTCTTGATATGACTAGGACTTTGCTTTTGGAGCTATTGATAATCATACCTTTGCGGAGGAGTTCTTCCTGCCATTCTACAAGGGCCTGCTGCAGCTTGTCTTTCGTGTCTGCAATCAGAACGATGTCATCGGCAAAAAGTAGGCTTTGGACCATAATATTCCGCAAGTTCCATTTTCTGACGACCGTCCAAGCAGTACGACGCTTACAAATTTTATGAATTTCATCCATAAATATGATGAACTAGAGAGGACTTAGGCTGTCTCCCTGCCTGACTCCTCTCTCCATGGGAAAAGGCTTGGACTCTCTACCATTAATCCTTACCATTCCTTTTGCTGCCTTATATGCTGATCTAATTGCCATGATAAGATCACCTGGAACATTTTTTGCTGCCTAAGCATCCCATATTTCTTGTCTTGGAACAGAGTCAAATGCTGCTTTGAGGTCCAGAAATGCCATATATATATTCTTGTCTCTGTCCCATGCTCTCCCTGCGATGCCTCTTAGCACGAAAATGTGATCTTGAGTCTTCCTCCCCGGACGAAAGCCTGCTTGTTCGTTCTCAATTTGGTTCACAACTATGAGCCTTAATTTTCTTTCTAAGATTGAGGAGTATAATTTGTAAGCCACTGAAAGTAAGCTTATTGGCCTATAGTTTTCACAAGTCTGTGGAGCTGCCCTTTTTATGAATAGGGACAATTACACTTAACTCCCAATCCCTTGGGACTATCTTTGTATCCCATACTTTTTGGAGGAATTGTTGGATAAATTTAATTAATTCCTGTCCTCCAAATTTTATTAATTTGGGGGCTATGCCATCCCTTTCCGCTTCTTTACATATTTTAATATTTTGGATGCCATATTCTATATCGTCTTCCTCAATGACTTCTAGACTTTCCAGAGTATTATTTTCTACCAGATGTTCTTCTGGATCAGTGTGTCCTCCTCCTGAGAAGTGTCCCTGATAGAACTCCTTCCACCGTTCAAGAATTTTTGTTTCTTCGGTGACCATGTTGCCACTAGAGTCTTTGACATTTCTCACTGGCTTACTTATTTTTCCTCTTAGTAGCTTTACTTTACGCCAGAACTTCTTAATACTTTCCCGGTGATCTTCATCGAGACTTTTTCCAAATCTTTCCCATGACTCTCCTTTCTCTTGCCGGACTGCTATTTTGCATTGATTTCTGGCTTGGTGGTATTCATCTAGTTTTCCGGTTGTTTTCTCTTGAAGATAAGCTTTCCACGCTTTCTTCTTTAACTAAACATCGTACTTCCTCATTCCACCACTCTGTGCGCTTTTGTTTATTAGATATTTTGTGCAAGCCACAAACTTCCCTTGCAGTTTCCAAGATGCATTTTGAGGTCTCATGAGTCCAAATAACATAATCTCGAGGGAGGAGCTGCATTGTTGGACCATCTGTAACGGTTGACTGAAAAATTTTAGCTAAAGCACAGGAAACGTGTTTACGTGTAAGTTTGTCCAATTTAAGATGCTACAATTAATAATTTCCTAAATTATTGTTATTTAGTTACCTCATTCTATTCGATAAAGCATGTACCTCATTCTTTAAAAAGCACAAATCTAAATTTACTGCATTTTTTGTGGACGCTATGTATGAAGTTTTTTGTTGCAAATGAGACATAGAATCACCTGACCTATTGTCCACTTATTCTGATACACCTTATGTAATATGATGTTTGGGAATCAAAAGTTATATTTATGTTATAAATATTTAATTGTTTCACATATTGTTAAAATAGGCATATGTGGATAATATGTGAATAATTATTGTTGTTATAAAAGTCAAAAAGTGTAAAGTTCTAAAAATCTCTGTTTAAAGTTTTAGTGAAATAAAACCAAGTTTATTTCAAAATAGAGTACTTAAGTTATTCTAGCTCGAACCTAGGGTTAGTTATATATTTGACCCCTAACCGAACATATAATATCATAATGTCTTTTAAATAAAATGAAATATATAAATATATGTTAATAAAATGTAGCTATGAATTAAGAATTAAATACCTCATATATATAAACTACTGCTCTTATCAATGCTTTCTAAATTTACTCTGTTTAGAGAAATTAAAGTGTATTAAATCACCTTCATCCTGCAATGGAGAAACAGATCTGACACATTACAGTAGACCAATTTTATTTCAGGTAAATATGGAATTATTAAGATGGTAAGAAATAAATGCTTTCTTTATCTTATAGTTTATTACATTGTTACTATATTTTTTTAATAATGGAGCCATTATTGATTTAGTAATAAATTTAACCTTTGTAACTTTTAGGTTATTGAGTACTAGTTGCAAATTTCTACTGCAAGATGGTGGCAGTTCAAGATCACTTTGAGCACACTGTAAATGGATTCCTGAGGAATGCCGAAAGTTGTTGAGTATTGACAATCATGTTCATATATAAATGACAGGCCTAACCACACATTTTCCCCTTCAATGCACAGAAAGCGATTTACTGAAGAAAAAAAATGAGAAAAGTGTTTTGTTTTTTTAATGATGATGGAAAATGTAATCGATTATTGATATGCATAAAATTATTATATGTGTTTGAAATATAAATTTAATTTCGTTTGCAGTAATGTTTCAATTTAAACACTATTATTTTATTTCTAATGTTGTAGTTATAGTTTTTTTCTTTATAATTCAAAAGAATGCAATGGATGTTGCAATGGAAGTTGATGTTGATTATCGTTGGTTGATTTTTTTATATATTTATTTGTATAGAAAAATTTAAGTTTTGGTGAACAGCTGACAAACATTTCAATAAATTTCTTTATGCTGTCATTTATGTATAAGAAGAAGTGTATGTGATCGGAACTTAACCTAATCAATTGTGAATAATATGCTAAGAAAAGTTGCAGATCGGTCATCTACTTCTACTTCCGGATATGCTTGGGTTTTTTCGGGGTTTCACCTAAAGTGTGCTCGATGTGATCTTGAAACCATCCTGGAATAGCGATTCAGAACTATTACCGGTTTTCGCAATATTCAAATTATTTTAGAATTATGGAAAATAAATTAGATGACAGTAATTTGCTACTGATGGACTTCTTTTAACCGACTAATTAGTGATGTATTGCTTGAGAATGATTAATTTATCTGCATTAACACATTTGTATCTGTTAAGTGAAGAAATATCAAAGGCTAATAATTTTAGAAATGTTTGATGCTTCTCATGTTATATTCATATTTTGGGTTTTTTTGCATAATTTAACATGATTAGTTATTTCATTACTATGACATCTCTTACCATGGTATTTATTTTTTTTTTTTTTTTAAGCCTTGTCATTATTTTTAATTCCTCTTCTGATTCCTATGTATTCAGATCAAACTGCATTACAGAGAACTATTTTCATTTAACTTTGGTTGAAGTGAATTTTTATTCGAATAATTTATTCAATAAATTTTTAGTGATTGACAATTCCTATAACAGCAATTCCTATAATAACCAGCTGTTTTTGATTATTCTGAGACTTATTCAGCAAAAAAATTCACTGAATAATCATTTATACTAGCATCATCATTTTTAAAAAATATTGATCGAAATTGGGATCCATTATTATGTTGTTTAGGGCTTTTTTTGTCAACACACTGTCGGATTTAAGAAAGCTCCATTGTGCATCATGTTTTTGTAACTTTTCAGATTTGATCGATATTAGGGTCCATTATTATGTGGAGAGGGACTCTTTTTTATGAAAATACTGTTGGATTTAAGACTGTGCATCACGCTATTGTAACTTTTAGGATTCTATTGATATTAGGGTCCATTGTTATGTTGTCGGAGGATCCTTTTATGAAAATACTGTCAGATTTAAGAATGCCCAATCATGCATCATGTTTTTGTAACTTTTCGGATTTGATCGTTATTAAGGTTCATTATTATTTGGATGAAAATTTATTTTTATTTCGATCACTAAAAATAATATTGTATTAATTCATTAGTGATTGAAAAAATAACCAGAATAATCTTACTTTACTCCTTATTCATAATAACCATTATACTTGAATAACCATTATTCAACAATTAAGCATTCCATAAATACATACATACACACACACACACACACATATATATATATTCATGTTTATGGTAATGAAACTGTATCTAGTTATTTAAAATTTAGTTTTTGGTATATTAAATAAGGTTCCATTGTTATATTGAGGGTGAGACAGGAGGGGGGGGGGGCGCTTCATATATTAGTATAATATCAATTCTCGGTTTTGCACAATCCATTATTATGTTTTCGGGAGATCTTTATCTTTTTGGGGAAATACTGCGTGGTTTCAATTGCACATTACATTTTTGTAACTTTTTGAATTTGATCAATATTAGGCTCCATTATTATGTTGTTTTGGGCTCTTTTTATGAAAATACTGTCTGATTTCACAATACACAATTGCGCATCACATTTTTGTAACTTTTTGGATTTTATTGGTATTAGAATCCATTAATACGTTATTGAATAACAAATAAAGTAAGATTATTCTGGTTATTTTTTCAATCACTAACGAATAAATACAATATTATTTTTAGTGATCGAAATAAAAATAAATTTTCATTCACTATTATTTATTCGTTATTCAAATACATTTTGCCCAATTATGCTATCTGCCAGCGTAGAAATATTCCAGATATTGTGAGTAGTAGTGTATAGGTGGATTTATTCTTCTTGTTTTACATGCAGAGTATTAAAATTTTCTTAAAATTTCATTTTTTTAGAAACCTCTTTTCTCATTCTTGTTCCTTCACTTCCTATTAAACAATAATTATGGGAAAGATTTTCAAGCTATGAATGTTATTAACTTATGCATATATGTAAATAATTCTCTTTTTTAAAACTAATTTGATGTTCGAAATCATTTTATTAAGTTTTTTTCTACTTAAATGTGATAGTTTCCTTTGGAAAAATCATACTATGATCTAAAAATCCTGCATTTTTTTTTCTACTTCACTGACAAATTAATGAATAACAATTAATGAATGTTTTACTGTGCACCTGATTGTGTACCAACAATCAAAATAACGAAAACTGATTCAATTAGCTATATGCTTTAATATTATACCTTAAACCACTTATATTGTATTTGAAAATTTATTTATTTGATCTCCATGAGAATTTAAATGTTTTTATATAAACAAACTTGTTTTAATTTTTTTGCAGTATCGATGTCTACTATAATATGAAATTAATCATCTAATATACATTTTTAAATTACAGCACTTCCCTATGTATCGGGAATCAGATGAAGCATGTAATGAACCAGATGAGGCTCCAGAAGATGAGAAAAGACTGAAATTCCGAGAGCGGTGGGACTGTTTATCTAAAGAATCTTCTGATATGGTAAGACATAGAATATGAATGTACCTACATAGCTGTGCTTATAAAGGGAATTAAACTAAATAAACAATTGCTCTTTAATTTATTATTTATTATTCCCCAGCTGTGTACCGTGCTTTCACACGCAATTAATTTGGAATATGCATGCTTGCATTTTTACACTTGATGAGTTTATGATCAAGTGCAATGGATTATCTGAATGGTATTTCAGCATTATGTTGAAAAATAACCGCTCACTACAAGCAGACTTGACATAAATTATCTTTGTTTTTATGGCTTTACACTAACAAAAGTTTTTGTGAACCAAGTATGTTTTAAACTGTCTACAGAAAACTTAATTATTTAAGTATGAACAATATTTATAGTTCTTTCTCTCCGTGTTATAAATTGAAATGCTATGTTTTGGAGTTAAAATTATTCGGGATACCACTGGATAATTATTGAGGATAATTATCCAGAAATCTATATTAAACAAAACATAAATGTTCGTTTGTTAAAAACCTCAAACTCACTTCTTCACCGATTGCTTTTAAATATTGACATAACGTTTCTATCGGATTCAGGAGTGTTTTTATATACATTTAATTACCCTCCGGCCTTTCGTTTCAGAAAGGCGACTGAAAAACCTGTATTGCTATAGATTGCAGCACCTAAACATCTGTAACGATTTTAATTAAACTTGGCTAAAGTCCTTCTTCTCCTTGAACCCTTTTTAAGTTATGTATATAACAGACTTTCCCGAAAGGAGTATGAAAAAAAAGTTACGATGGGTTCAAAACTATATTTGTGAATAGCGCTAAAAGTACACAATTGTTGGATTATACCCATGATTGTTTGAAAGCTTCCTTAACTCCCTGCAATTAAAAAAAAATCACTAAAATAGGATGATTTGGTGCCGAGATATAATGTTTTAAACATTTAGTGCTTTTTCTTTGGAGATTTAGAGACAAATTGCTTCTCACATGGACAATTATATGTTGTGTGTTTTAGAGTTGGAAAACCATACAATCCCTATATCTTTACAAACAATGAAACAACAAAAAATAGTGTATATCCATAAGTATTGCGAAATTACATATATATAACAAACACATCTGCTATTGGAATTAACTAGAAACATATCTATATTATAGAACTAGATATACATCTATATTAGAAATATCTGCTTTTTTTTTATATTTCTTTTTCTATTCAAGTTCTTTTTCTAGATTGAGCCACAGCAACACATGGCCGGGTACACCTAGTGTTTTAATAAAAAATTAGTAAAAGAAATTTGAATCTATAATATATTGATTGGTCCAGGATTAATTAATTGAATTTCTTTTCTCAAAGGCTGGTTTGTGTTTATCATGCTTTCTGATTACCAACATTACCAGTGATCATCATGATATAAATAGTTGGCAGAATTAAAAATAGCATTAATAAAAAACTTAATTTATTCCTATGTTTAATAAAGTATATATACAAATGATGTGGAAATTTTGTTGTACAAATACTAATTACAATAATTTAAATAAAAACATGATTCAATGAATTTATTAACGACTTTGTGAAAGTATGATTTCGGATGGATTGGTTTGAGGATATGCCATCAAAATATTTAACATTAATCAATCTATTATTGGAAATTAAAACTTATCTCTGGGTCTAAATATGATGTGGTTAGGTTGTGTTGGTCATTCCATCGCTGCATCTACTGGTTTAAGGTGATCTGGTCCAGTCAAAGCCAAGCGCCAATTCCCGATAAGCCCATCTCCCAGGCCTGTGTAGGTCAAGCTGAACCCTTAAGTCACCAAGGCCTGGAAAAGACATAAGCCTGAGCCCTCATTCTTCCGTCCCCCAAGCAGGAAGAAAACATAAGACTCTCTTGCCTTTCGAACTCGTGATTTTATACAAATAATTCAGGGTGGGGCAAAGATGGTTCCCATTGGCTCAACATCTTCAGGTTTAAAATTATTTAAACTGGCCACTCCCTAAAGGGGTATAAGTTTGCTAACTTGAACAAAGATTCCCTAGAAACTTGCAGGTATATACATAAAGATATCAGGTAACGTGTACACAGTGTCTTTGACGTTCGCTCAAGTGTTTAAGCACCTCATATTATGTTTAATATGGTTTTACCACAACCTGATATCGATTAGCCAGCACATAGTTGTCTTATGTTATAGGGAAAAGTGTTGGTACTCTTTAGTCATCTGCTTTTTTATTTTTTTATTTATTTTTTTTTTTGTGACTGAACAATATTTATAGGTCTTTAAGCCTTGTTAGTATAATTGTCCACAGAATTCCTGATCCTATCAATATTATATCTATTGATTATGTTTTAATATTTACTTCTTTATTCTTTTAAATGATTAAAACTGTCGAGAACTGATATATATTAAAATATTGATAAATTTATTTGATTTTTTTAATATTACTATTTTGATTTATCTGAAAAATATTTATATATTACTTCATTATTTACATCCCTAGTGTATCTGTGGTGGTTGAGCGATATGGGTTTAAAACTCAGCACACATAAGTTAGAAACAGCATAATTTGGAATTCTCTCTGTGGTTATTGACTAGTATTTTGTGGTGGACTTGTTTAATAATTTTTGAGTTTAAAGTTTCAATAATTTAGTGTTTTAATACTCATAAATGGTGATATGTTACAGCTTTTTGAGATGTTAAATCCACGTTTGATTGTTACTGGCCATACACACCATGGTTGTAGGAAGTACCACAAACAATACAATGCTTTTGAGTACACACTTTCATCCTTTAACTGGAGAAACAAAGACAATCCTTCTTATATGTTGGTAAGTTTTTATTTTAAATTTCATTATCAAATATTTACTCCTTCATTATAGCATAGATACTAAATGGTTTTCTCACCTCCTATGGCCCATTTCTTTATTAAAATCACATCTTTTCTTTGGTTTATAGTTTTTTATCCAGCTAAGTACAGTAAAACTCCTCCACAGTGGACTACTAGGGAGAATTAGATTTTTTCCGCTATAGAGAATTGTCCATTTTAGTTCTCTGTTAGGTTTCTACTCAAAGGAAAAAAATTTAAATAAATGGATTAAAATCATATTTTATGGACCATCTTAATAGTATTGTTTATCATTTTACATAACATTTCTGGTTTGAAACATATAATTTAAATATATTTTTATTAGACATTTTATGTTTTTTATAATAAGTGCACGAATGAGTAATGATAAAAACATAATCTTGTGTAAGAATAAATAAATAAAATAAAATAAAAATTCAAATTACTTAGATACCTACCTGACTTTGATCTGAGGTAAAGGAATGTTGATAGGAAGGTCTGAACTTTTAGGGAATTGTTTTCCTTTAAAATGTCACATACTTATATTTTTCCAATGTTATTCTACTGTATAATAATAGTTGTTCAAAACAACTGCATCAGAAACAGAGGATTTTCAGAAAGCTCTCCACCAAAATAGTAAACATTCAATAACACTGAATTATTAGAGTTTTGGCTAAGAGCAGTGAAGTATATATGCCACAGAAAAAATCATTGAAAATGTGTTCTTTCAAGGAAGTTCTGAATGGGGTGAATATGGCCAAGATGAAACAGGTGATATTATTAAACCTAAGCCAAAACTAAATGAAACCTAAGCCATCTGAACATTTTCATTAAATATGTTGATGATAATAACAATGAAAACAGATAGATGTCACTATAAAAACATTGTGAACATGATATAATCTGTGTAAGTCAATATTACAGAAATTAATGTCAAAGGAAGCCAAAAAACATTAGCAGTTTCTTCAAACCTGTAAGTGTGGTCCATGGAGGTCAAGATGCTTTGATTGCCATGTTTTAATTCTGTACTGCACTAATCTTTCTAAATTTTGTTGGATCAAATACTGTATTCAAAATAATAATAATCTTTATATTTCTTAAATTTAAATATTCTTAATAAGAAAATTTATTGACTTCAATCATTCTTTTTACTGATTAGAATGTTTTAATTACTTGGCTCATTTCATTATTTATTTGTGTAAGCTAGACTTTCATTAATTCAGACAACCTATAGCCTTAATTGGTCCAGATTATTGAGATACAAGTTGATTTATTGACAATTAAATCTATATAAGAGCTAACCATGAAAGATTAAAGACCCTATTTACAAAATTAAAATAAAGTTTCTAAGTCTTCCAGTAATAGAATATATTAAATATAAATTATAATTTATTAAATTAATAATTAAGAAATATTAATATTAAGTATGAGGGAGCCCATGCTCAACTGATAGTGCCCCCTTTGATGTTGAAGCTTAACTCAATTATCTAATTACATTATTTTATTATAATGTAAAACAATACTTTAATAAAAAAAAATCTGTTATTCATTTACACTATTTTATATTTTAGGCAGTCATTACAGCTAATAATTATGCATTAGAAAAATGCTACATGCCATGTGAATCTACAGTTATATTTTTGTACATTGTTGGAGCTTTGGGTATTATTGCTTACACCATCACAACACAGCGCAGGCTATATTGGAGGATCAGAGTCTTCAAAGTACTCTGACGCTAACCAGTTGTTAGTAATTTGTTTTATTTAATTATAATTATAACTTCTTTGTTTTATTTTGTTTTTGTTACCATATTGTTTATGATTTGCATTAGTCCAATGTTATATATGCTTATGTAATTTAATGGTTATTAAATCTTCCAGTTGGTTTGATAAATCTTAAACTTAGGAAATACATAAGTTCTTGAACATTTGTTCAATAAATATATCTTTCATTACAAGATTTTTTTTTATTTTAAACTTTTTTATTCAGTTAAGGAATAAACTTTTTTATTCAGTTAATTTATTACTCAGTTCAGGAAACTTATATTAGAGTTCAGAGAGCACATTCACATCATATATACAGAAACATAAATAAATAAAATAATAACAAAAGAATATGTAGAATTAAGAACAAAATAAAATATTATAAGGAGAGAGAAAATAAAAAAAAATTCTGATTTTTGTTTAAATATGAATTGAATTAAAAATATTGAATTATTATAAATTTAATGGACACTGAGGGCTTAATTGGTTCATAAACTGTGAATTCTAAGGATCAAATAAACAACATTGATACATTTAATATTTTATTTAATAAATAAAACATTCATGAACATAATAAAATGAAATTCAATCATTATCATTATAAATATCATTATAAAAGACTGTATAAGAGGTCCTGTTTGATTGGACTGTCTTAATGGTAGCGCCAATGTAGGCTGCTCCATCGACTGAAGGTGGTCTTCATCTGGTAATACTTTTCTAATGGCTGTAGAGATGTTATCTCGAGTACTCTTGGGAACTGATAGACCACTTTGCATCCATCCTGACCTGTGGCTGGGACAAGACTGGGGTAAAGCGAGGGAGTGGGGTCATGTCCTTCCCTCCACTATTCTAACTCTAGCGTATTTTTTAAATTTTAATATTCAATAAATAAAAATCATTACATTATATACATAAATAAGAAAAATAAAATGTACTTAAATTAAAATAAACATCTTAGACACAAGCACACCTATATACACTATTTACAACCAGCCAGGGAAATTCCGAACCAATCTTGTCCAACCCACATGTGGAGGAAAGAGTGAGGGTTAGGTGGTCTCTGCGCTTCTCCCTCAACAACCTCAGTGGTATTTAAAACCAGCTGAGTAAGGGCACTACAGCCACAGGAAGTCATGACTTGAGGGGAGAATCTGGCCATTGCCAGAAATCCAATATACACATATTTACAAAAGGTCTCGGGGCCACTGCCACTTTAACTACCATCCCTCCCGATATCCGACATGCACAATCAGTTTCCTCATTTAAATCTCTCCTTTTTAAGCACTTACTTCTTTCCCAACCTGATTGATCACGAATTGTAGATAAGAGAACTTTTTATATTTCCCCAGAAATGATTTCGTTCACTTATGTTGTTTTATTTTCCCATGTTTGTTTTATATATATCTGTAAGTTTTTAGTGTTTTTGTTTTTTTCTTCTTCCAATATTTTAATTTTTATGAGATTTGTAAATATTTAATTTAATGTATGACCACACAGGTATTTTTTCTGTATCTATAATTTGTTCTAAAGGGACAACAGTTCCAGAATAATAAAAAAATATTTTCATTTCATTTAACCTACGAGGGGGGTTGTAGAAATGGGTGGTGCTTGATAGAGATTGTGCTATAGAATTTTGGTGATAAGTAAGGTTCTGGTGAAATTTGTCTGGGATAAGATCAAGAATAAATGGAATATTAAGGTCATTATGCTGGGTTTTATTGATTACATAAGCATCAACTATTGTTCGGAGGACTTTAGGCTGGAAGGATTGAATGTGTTTGATGTTAGAAAATTTAGTTGTCCCCCACATTTCTAGCCCCTAGATGGGTTTCAGTATTGTCTTGTCTTGGACAGAGGTACATAAATTGTTATTGAGCCTGTAGAATTGCTGCAAGCTGCTTTAATTAAACCAACAATTGTAAATTTATACAAAATGGCTTCAATCAACTTTACTAATATTTTTGAAAAATAATAACATAAAGCAGCAACATCTATATCAATAAACAAAATATTTTCCTTATATTTTTTATAACTTACTTTTACGGATATAAAGACATGTTTTTATAATGCATCTTATAACATTTTTGTATTTTTATTTATAAAATAAAATCTTCTACTTTAGAGATGGGTATATAGTTGACTGTTGAAATTATAAAAATAAAAAATGGTCAGGATGTTCAGTCTAAACTAAATTTTGTATATTAAAATAAAAATAAAATAATACATTAAAATAATAAACAAGATTTTGACTGCACATCCGTATCATTTTTCATCCTTAAAATCTTCTTTATTTAATTTAACCTCTTCTAATTTTTTTATAATCAATAGAATTTAAACCTAAAAAAAATTATGAATGTATAGTAAAAAATAATATGATAGGGACCTAAAAAATAAGACAATTTTACAATGAAGTGATGTGAATTGATTGCAAAATTAGTATTGAATAAATCAATTTAAAAATGTTGGTAGCCTTAAGTCAATTTCTGGCGATCTATCTGAAGATACACTATTTTTAGGGTATTTTTATTGATTTTCTATTGAAATATACCATTAAATTGCTGGTCATAAAATAAATCTATTAGCATTGCATTGTCATAAAACTTGTTAATCTCCTTCTCCTTAATGTGAAATATTTTCCTAAATGAAAATATTTATAAATCCTGTTGAAGATAAAACCTTTAGATAAAGTAGACTTCTGTTTGTCTATTAAAAATATATGTGTAATAATAATAATAATAATAATACAAATATATGTAAAATTAAATATACAGTTAAACCTCTTTAAATGGAACTTGAACGAATTGGATATACAATAGATATTGTGATAGCATGAAAATCTCAAACTTATGCAGTTATCTATTTTTACATAATCACCAATGTACATGTAGCAATATTTAAGTTAACGAATTTCAAAACAATTTATTTGACGACAAATGAAAATGTGGATATTTTTCTGAAAATAAATTAAATTTCTTTTTTATGTATGGAAGTTTACAGTGAAGGGGTTCCTTCAACTGTAATTTTTTTTTCATTGTGAATTATTGTAATAAATCTTATTAAAGACAAAGTTCTGGTGACTTATCAATGTAAAATATTGTAATCATAAATATCTTATTATGATTATAAGGTAAGCTAACTATCTTATGCAATATCGATTATCATGGTGATCTATCCTTTAATGTTATTAAAGTTATGTAAATATACAGATAAAATATAAATTGAAAATAAATAAAATTATGATTGTAAAAAGTTTGGTTTTACTTTCATCAATGAAAGTGATGGGTGTGATGACTGTATTATTAGATTTAACTATATCATTGTACCTTTGGAGTAATTTTTAAGGACCATATTTATATATATCTGTTACATTGTTGTGATCGTAGTTACCTTCTTTGTATTTATTATATTCTCTAAAAATAAACTTAATATACAAAGTATTTTAAAACCTGTAGAATATTTAAATTGTTCGATTCTTTGTATGTATCCAGACCTCATTCTGCCTGTCTATTTGTAACTACATTTATTCATTAATTTAAGAATTAAGCATTTATTATTGATAAAATTACTTAAAATTTATTCATTGTTGTAAATATTTTTTTAATACTAAATAAAATATATTTAACTATATTTATACTTGTATATTCCATATGTTAATATTTTAGAATTAATTATTTTAAAAGTGTATGCCAAAGATTGGTAATTTTTATATGTTTCTGATATTTTAAAAATGTTATAAGGCTGTGGGTTAACTAAACAAAATATTGTTTATTTGAATAGCATACATGTACTTATTTCCAAAATGTGATGGGACACATAATTTATTAAATTATTCTTAGATGTATTAAATTTCAATAATTAGCAATGACATTTTAGTAACTAAAGTAATTCATTTGAAGTATAACTGATATAAAGCAGCTTATGAAATAAATTGAATTTTTTCGGGACAGATGATGTTGCATGGGAGTACCAAATGTCTAAGGCTGGTACTGGATACAACAACAGTAATAGTTTCAGGAAGTAATTGTTTTTTTTTTATAAACTAGTGCAAAACTATAGACTGCAATGATTTTCTTTGATATATTTTTCATTCATATTAAAATTTAAGTTGTTCATATGCTGGGTGAACATGTGGAGATAATCAAGGATATTGTTTTTAAGGATTCAGTTTTGGCGACTAAATAAACATTTCAGTTATTTATTGCATCATAAATCTTTTTATTATAAATTAATAAGCATAAAAGGAGTTATTCTTAACCAGTTCTCAAGAATCGTATCCATATACTACTATAATAACAAAAATTTCTTATGCTTATTTTTTTTAATGTATACCTACATTAAAAATACAAATTCGTTACTGCCTAGTAATATCAATTAACTTGTGATTTAATTCTTAAATCAAATATGTATTTATTTTAAACTAATGATCAACATTAAATTGTTTTTGCAATTTTGTTTATATAGTCCACAGCCTACTTCCATATTCCAGAAAGTATTTATACTTTGAAAAGAAACTATCTGTGACTAAACCATGTGCCACCTGTAGAAACTTATTAAAAATAAAATTTATTTTGAGCCCGTAGCTTTTCTATTGTGAAATATCAACAGTGTATTATTTTAGTATTACATTTATTTTTAATGTTCATATAAAACTAATTAGTTTTTTATATCATCTGAAACCTTTACAGATCAGTTATAGTTAGTGAATTGTAAAATATGATGGTCAATAAAAATTATTTTTTCTCTATTTTTTTTTCTTTGATATTACAGCCTTTATAATAATGCAGAACTGCCATAAGCAAAAAACTATCTAGTTATTGTAGGAAGAAATGTTTAGATAATAGCCAGGAAAGAAACCACAGGTGTAAGTAAACCACACTAAATAGCTGCTGAAGTTTCAACCTCATTTGTAAGTCTTTTTCAGGGCTAAGCAAAAAAGATAAAACCATAAAAGTTTAAACGCAACACAACATAGGTTAAAACATCAGCATGCATTAAAAGAAACTCTCTGTGTTTTCCTTCTCGACTGCACCCCCTCAACGTCCAACTTCTTAATTTAAATGTAATTAAGAAGTTAACAGGTTAACAATATATATCCGACATCATGTCTAGTTATAGCTTTTTTTAAAAAAGAATTAATATGATGGATGTTGATAACCATTTAGATTTCTCTAAAAATAAAAAGATTACTTTTATTTAAATTAAGTTTTAAAATAAAACAACTAAAAATCTTAGTTTGAAATTTTGTTGTGAAGATATTTCACATCTGTTGTAATATTTGAATTTTTTGATTGGGGAACTTTTTAATCAAAATCATGAGCCAGCATAAATATTTACAGTTTATATCAGGTGTGTCCAAAAGGAGGTTTCTTAGTGCAAGTTGGACCATAAAAATTTTGAAGGAAACATTTTTTGACTAGGTATAGAATTTTTGAGACAAGCACATTTCAACGAGGTAGTGGAGTTTTAGAATGAAATGTTTCAAACCAGGGGAAAACATGTAACAGACCTCAGCAAATGTTATTGTATATGATCTACATTTTTTTTTTCTAATTTTACGTTGCTTAGTTATTAAGAACAGAAGAATCATAAAGTATTTTTTGATAGGAGGAGGGAGGGGTGCATCATCCATCTTGGGATGATGGCCATCCCTGGTTTATATTAGTAGTCCAGGAATAGTGGAAGAGTTTTACCTTATACCAAGTATTTACCTTGCTAACAGTATTGGTTTTGATTTTTTCTGGAAATATTTTTAGATTGTGATTAACAGTTTTACTGCATGCCGATTCCAAATCAAGAGGTTGTTAGTCTGGAAAATAAGTCCCAGCCCAATGACAAAATTATTATTTCAACACTTAGTTTTGAAAAATACTTCATAATGGAGTGGATGATTGAGAAAATAATTTAGTCAATTGATTTATGCAGTGGTCTTTCCCTTCAGAGCCGTGAGTCTGCTATATGTCTCAATATAGAAATTATCGAAATAACCCATTAGACGCTTTAAACCAAGTTTAATTATCATTTTCAGCTAATGATGTTTTATGCTAGTTGACTTAAGCCTCATTGGCAAAGCTGATTGACTTCGCTGGAGGGCTTAGCCTAGATACATAGGAGAACTCTATGTAGGACTCCATGCTCGATTTCCTCACTCGGGTACTTAATACAAAACAACAAAAATTTCTCAGGATTTCAATACAAACATTTGGTGACTCAATTCGAGTCTCTACAATGCTCAATGATGGAGTTGTAGGAATTAGACTAAGAATGCCACTTCATCCCTCCTCTTCTCCTCCCTCCAGCCTAAGCCATCATAGGTGGCAATATGAATTAGGACCTTCTAGACATTAATCAGAAGAAAAACTGCGATTTTGCATAGAAACCGCTCTCGCAACCTATACAATAATGTATCTAAACTTTTTAGTCCAGGACCCACATTCAGACCTCCACTAGTTCTATAAATGACACCTTAATTGTGAAATACGTTTTCTTAGAGAAACTATTCATGCAATAAATGTTGCAGTAATCTCGTGTTTGAGTGATTTACTAAATTTCATATTTTTTAAAAATTTTACCATGTATTCAAAGATACATTCGCGGACCATATAGCTCTGGAGCTAGAGCCCATCTATGAACCCACTTCATCGCAGGCGAAGGTTTGAATATAAATTACGAAAGTGTATGTTATTCTAAGTAAAAGCATTCTTTTTTTTTTGCCATTCCAGAGCTTCCGTTTTCAAAATGGTGGCTGATTTAAGGACTATGAGGATGGTAACTTGAGGACCACAATGGGTCACCCGAGGATGACCCTCCTACATCGACATTACCATTCGCTTTTTCCTTTCAAGCAGGCGGCCGAAAACCTGTGTTGCTATAGACTGTAGCGCATAAACGAATTTACCGATTTCAATGAAATTTAGTTGTCTTCTTCTCGATGCCCTTTAATTATATCTATATAACATACTTTAAAAAAAAAAAGAAGCTGAAAAATAAGTTATGAGGGTGGTAAAATTAGATTCCAAGTAAAATTACAAAAAGAATACACTTGATGATATTAAATATTGTTTATTTCAAAGTTTACAAAATTTTCTAAAAAAAAAAAATCGTTAAAGTTGGACAATTTGGAGCAAAGATACGGTCTCTAGATATTTGTTATGTATTCTACTGCAAAGGTTATATACTTGGTTTTTGATTTTTGAAAGTGTCAATGAAGTAATGCTATTTTTTTAGCTAATTACTAATGACGAGAAAAAAAGTTGTTTAGGCCAATAATAGAAATCACCTTTCAACTCTTTTTCTTTGTTACTAGGAAGGTAATGTCACTTTAGATGTATAATTGTTTGAAAATAATTAACCATTCGGTTGAAACATGTAAAAAAAATAAATTTTTATGGGAGCAAGCAAGGGAAAACTTTGTACATCCAAAATAATCCAGATTTTTTTGTTATCTTTTTTAGTTTCTTCACCTATAACTATGGAGTTGCTGCAAGTCAGAGCATGTTAGCTCCGATGATCTGAGAGGATTTGGATTTTTACACGGTTATATAATTGTAAATAGTGGAATATGCTAATGTGCTTAAGGTAGTTTACGCGGTTTTTATCCACATCCCCTCTGATCAATCCACCTTTCTACATCTACAAACCAGCACCTGGCGAGTGGAACTTTGGCGCCTTCTGGACTCTAGTTGGCCCTTTGGGTTCTAGGAACGTCTCTCGCTAAGTGCTCTGTTGGGTTCGGATTGGTGGATAACCAACCAGCTCTAAATAAACAAATGGCGGGCGTTGATGACCTGACTGTTTTATTATTATTATAATCTTTGACTCCTGGTGGAGCATAGGGCCTAAAAATGCGTTCCATTCCGCTCTTTTTGCAGTAATCATTTTTGCTTCTGGCGAAGTCTTGCCCGGCTAAGGCCATTTTAACCTCCGCCATGTTTTTCTTGGTTTTTCCTCTTCTTCTTGTTCATTAGGGATTCCATTGAAAGCCTTATTTTTCGATCGCACTATCAGCCTTTCGAGATGGATAGGAAGCTGTTCAGTAATACTGCAGACCTCTTCATTACAGATCCTCTCAAGCCACCAAATGCCCATAATTCCTCGCAAGCAGCGGTTGATGAAGATCTGAAGGGGTCGGGTAACGGTTTCAGTTGGTGTTCAACAACCTCATTTTTGTTATGCTGGACGGTTTCTTGTTCTTTCGTATTGAATAGAGTTAAACAAACACCTCATTTTTTTTATTCGGTTTTTTATCTTCCAACGAGCTCTTTAGTGATCATGCTTCCCGAGTTGATGAATGATTTCACTCGTTCTAAGAGGCTTTCCCTCAGAACAAGTGGATTCCGACATCGCTCATATACTCGAATTTTCTCCTTCGTTTTGTCGACGTTGATTCGAAGTCCAACTCGATTTGGAATTCGGCTCAATCCATCTAACTTGTTCTGTAGATAACTGAACCGCTCTGCAATAAGACATAGATCGTCGGCAAAGTCGAGATCTTCGAGTCTCCCTCTGACCCGGCTGTTCTACGCCCTACAAAACCCAAACAAACAGTCGGAGACATTTTGTAACTGGTATTATGCTAACAATTTTTTTAAAAAGGTTTCGTGAGTTCCAGTTTATAATTGTTAGTTGCTTTATGTAAAAAAGTATGGATTAATAAAATTCCCAGGTAAAATCGGCTATTATACCCCCGTGTGCTGTGCATTGCTAACATTAAAAACAGAATTACCTTTTTTTTACGTAAAGGAACCAACCATAATTCTTTCCACAGAAAAAGAAATGTGGCGTATGCAGTAAATTCAAGATAACTGATACTACTACTCGAGTCTTGTCAAATCTTTTATAATTGTTGTTTGAAGTATCCTAAGGATTTGGTGTCCTGGTAAGATATCTGACAAGAAGCTCTGGAGAATCACAAAGCAGCTTCCTACCGTTTTGAAAATAAGAAAGAAGACATGGAAGTTGAAAGGACACAAATCAAGAAAACCTAATTGTGCCATCGAAAAATATGCTCTACAATGGAGCCCTAGAAGATAAAAATTAAATTTAAAAAATCAAAGTAGCAAGTTCATGTTACGGAAAGTTGAATTTTGTTATGCATACATTGGTAGTTGCTCTTTGGAAACCTTTTTAGGCGGTTATCTCCTCGTGTTTTTGTTGTTGAACTTTCAAACTGTTCTCTAGTGAACAATCTATATTACCTTAATTTTCGATGGCTGCATCTAAAAAAGCTCAGTGGCAACCGGTAGAAATTGACGTCGAAGGCGATTTTGAAGGGCTGGCTGGTATAGAAGAAATATCAGATTATAATATTGAATCGTTTAGGACTAGTGCCCAGAAACAACCCAAATCAGAACAACATAAAAAGAAGAAAAAGAAAAATGTGAAAGCTAAGAATACTTTTGTAGAGAAAATAATTGATCAGAAGGAAATTGAGGAAACACAATTTTATCCATGGAATAATATATATGTTCCTGTGGAAGTCTCTAAAGCCTTGTTGGAAGAAGGTTTTATGGAACCCACTGAGATACAGGTATTTATTATTGTTTTATTGTTTACTTAACTATATTAACTTTACTTTTCAGAATATTGAAGAGGCCAGTTGTAAGGGATTAATAATGGGTAGGATAAGTTCTTAACCTCAGCGATAATTCCATTGAAGGAATCCATTAATCAATCGAATTCAGCAGTCATGGACAAGTGATTTATGTTGAGTTTGGGGAAGACCTGGATTTCAGTAGATTGTAACAAAACAGAAATAAATGTAGATAAGTCTGAAGTTAGTCTGAAAATGTGATTAAAATAGGTTTTAGGTAGTTTGGGAGTCCATATCAGTCAAACATACATGCATTCATTTTTATAGTTATTGATTATATATGTTGAAAAGCAACATAGTTGGGTGACATAAATTATAATGAGACCAGTATAAATGAATGACTGTGCATGATCTTATTTTGATATGACATTTCTGGACACTTCACTGTTTTTTAAGTGCTTTAGAAGGGAGGTTATTATTTTTGCTTTTAGTTTTACGTTAATCTTGAAAAAATGCTTTGGAATCAGTAATATATGTAAATGAAATTGTTCCAGTGGTGACCTTTTACAGATAATGTTATTAAATAAAAAAAAAATACCTGTACCACTTCAACCCTTGAAGAGTTTTGGATTCAGTACTAGTTAGGTAGTACTGTTTCAAGACCAAAGGTTGTGTAGGGAGGTGATCTGACCAGGATATCTCTCAATCCCTAGGTGTTTCCCCTTAATTTTTTTAAGGGTACCCACTTCATAGAGGCTGGGTGTGCCCCAGGGAGGAGAAAGTCTCCTGACCCTAGGGTCGATCCACAGCTGATGAAAAAATATTCGATAGGCAGATTTGAACCCGGAAAGTTTAATCTTAAAGTAAACGAAGGAGATGATGTTGGTAATGCCCCATCATGTTTATCTTTCGTTTATGTTTAGCAAGCCCACCAGTGAACATTTGTATCAGTGGGTTCTTGATCTGCCTACCAGATGTAATACTTGTGAGGTAGTATCCTAAGGGCTTCAGATAGAGAGCAACTCATGGTGAACTAGGAAAAAACCTAAATTTATGTTTTCAGTGATGTTTTCTTATATTGCTGATGGTATTTGAGAAGATCTCTAATCCTTCAAGATTTTTTCCCAGTTTAGCAAGTGTTTATTTAATTTTATTAATAATATACAGACTATATAATATAGTCTGGGACCCAATACTTTACCAACAGGTACAGGAGATTATTTGATCATTGTTCACACCAGATTTTCCCCACCAATCTATTGAGGCTGAGCATGTCGTAGGATTTTAGTTGGCAGTCCACTATTTGTCATTATTTTAGTTAATGATAACACCTGTTAAATTTATTGTTCTAGAGGCTGACTATACCTCCTGCCTTAAAAGGTAAGAGAGATATTCTTGGTGCTGCTGAAACTGGAAGCGGTAAAACATTGGCCTTTGCTATTCCTATAATTTATGGAATTATGAAGAACTTAGAATTATCATCAAAGGAATCAGGTAATCTTTTATTTTATTTTAAGGATGCTAAACATAGAAAGAATGATTGCGTGGTGGTTTTTTGATGTCGTTGGTGCTTTTGGCAATGTTGGTCACAACCATTTCATCAGCTCAATGGAGGCGAGAGGGGTCTCATTGGACTTGAAAAGTGTGAGTGCGGCTCTCCTAGGTACTAACTCTATTAAGTTTGGAACCCACTCGACCAACTGGATCATAGTGCAGCAAGGAGTACACCAAGGCGGACCCTTGTTGCCTTTGCTGTTCAACCTGGCTGTAGATCATCTATACCGCGACCTGTATGAACAATAATTTTCAAAACGTTATGGATACGAGCTAATTAGTGACCAAGAATGTGTGGTCCTTACAGGCTTTGCGGATGACCATACTGTCACAGCATGCGACAAGGGTGCCGCAGAGAGGGTAATCAACTGTGAACAGATGATCCTCGCCGAGATTGATCTGGCTGTTAATCTGAAGAAAAACATGGGAGTAATAATTGATAAAGAAGAGCTGCAACAAACAAAGAAATTATTGGAAGGGATTGATATAAATATCCGCAGAAGTATCAAGATCATTATAGGGCTCACTGTTAATATATCATCGGCGATGCTGTACGCACCGAAGAAGTATTGAGAATTGAGACTGACAGCTGTCAAGGAGAGGGAGACCCCTTTGCAGCTTTGTTCAGCGACTGTCGTATGTACTGGATGACCTATTATAGTCTACATTTGATTATAATGCTGAAATCGCCAAATGTGCGGTTAGACTGGTTGTTGACCAGGGCCACCAAAATGTGAGAGATCTACTACAGTCGCTGATGAAAAATTCTTTAGAAAAATGGGCTAGCTGACGGCAAGGTGTTGGTGTTAGGCATTTTAAAGAGACCCAGAATGCTTATAAATTTATATGCTAGAAACAAGTACTTTCGGGGTCAGAATGGTCCAATGCCTTAAACTCAATATGCACCTTTGCGTAGAGTCCCAGGACAGTCGAGGGAAGTTGAGTCTCACCAGCCCATGTACTGTGAAAATGCCCCAACAACTCCCTCCTCATAACACACCAGCACCATAGCGTCAAATTCGAGTTGATGAGGCTCCTTAGACAAAGGGAATTCACCTACTTTGACGAGGTTTATTGCATTGATAGAAAAGGATCTATAAAATATGCGGATATTGTCCCATTTACCAAGACAGGAAGGACAGCGATGATCTTGGATCCAACTGTTCGCTTTGAGAGCAATGACCTTGATCAGGGGGGGTGAAGTGGAAAAAAAAAAAGAAGAAAATTAATGATAAATGTATCCCTTTCCTAAAAGAGAAGTTCCATGAAATCTTCTAAAAAAAGTTTAATTTTAGCATAGTCCTTATCTTTTGGTCTATTTTCATTCGGAAATAATTGGCTATCTGCACTGTATCGAAAGCATCAGTGGAAGGCAGGATTGGGGTTTCTGTCCGTTATGGAATCCCTGGATCACAATTCTGTAATTTTTAGAGGTGTCGGTTATATATTGTATATATATTTTTTTCTTTTTTCTGCTATGTTTCGGCTTCCCCAGCGGCCGCTATTTGACTGAACAAGCTAAAATTTGGTGTATAGACACAGTGTTCAGTGACCGAGAAAACTGGGAATAGTATGATAATTTCTCGAACCGAGAAAAACCTGACATTGTATAGGAATTTTTTTAAAAACAACGGGTACTTTTCAATTTCCCTATTTTTTTTCTGACAAAATAAATGAGCTTGTATACATAGTAAAGAATATTATCGTATTCACATAATCTTAAGAATAAATATTTTTTGAGAAGGAGTTAGTCGAGGGTGCGGTCAAATAAATAAAAAATTAAAATATATTAATTATTTTAATTTTTGCCGATGTTTCGACCCACTTTGCAGGTCGTCTTCAGGGCGTAGGATGTGGCACTGCGGGAGGCAGTTGAAACACTGGCTCTGAAACACTGGACACTGGACCAGCCAATGTTTCAACTGCCTCCCGCAGTGCCACATCCTACCCCCTGAAGACGACCTGCAAAGTGGGTCGAAATGTCGGCAAAAATTAAAATAATTAATATATTTTAATTTTTTATTTATTTGACCGCACCCTCGACTAACTCCTTCTCATATTATATCAACGGTCAACCATCTCTACATCATTAATAAATATTTTTGTTAATTATTAAATAGCCTTTGAGCAGTCACATTGTGGCGGTATTTTTCTTTGAAATTGTTGACGTTATTTGGTTTTTCCATGATGAAAATACTATCTATCTCTACCAGGTGGCCTGGTCGGGGAAGCAGGTGTATGATGCCTGGTGAGAAGGACATGGATTTCCGAAACTATTAGTTTTTGCAAATTTAATATCTATTATAAATTTGTGTAAAAATAAATATATGATAAATAAAGAAAAATATCTCATCATAATTTTATGGCAATATTATTGTTTTCATTATCACTCCTGCGTACGCTTAAATGTACACAAGTGTACGGTTATTATAAATTTGTGTAAAAATAAATATATGATAAATAAAGAAGAATATCTCATCATAATTTTATAGCAATATTATTGTGTTCATTATCACTCCTGTAATTACAAGTATACTCATTTTTAAAGGCTTGTATTTTGATGCAAATATTTGTATTTAGACCAGTAAATTTGCCGTAATATTAATATTGAATTTTTAATTAAAAATATTTATACATACTTTTACGTGAATATAACAATATTATTACACCTCTAAACACAACTATATTCCTATTTACAGGAGTGTATACGATAGCAATTGTATATATTTAGACTTGTGAATTTGAAAAAAATATAAATATTTTTTAAACAAAGAAGAATATATATTATGTGAATATAATAATATTCTATATCAAATATTTATGGGGGAATGAGGAGACAAATATGCCCAGCTGATGTGTAGGAGTGGATTTTACTCGATTGAGTCTCTCAGACTGCCGTTTATATTGGGCAGACTAAAATGAAACTAACAAAAAGTATTAAAAAAATATTTCCTTGGGGCAGGCCATACATCTTATTTCAAGAACCATTTTGGAAATTTTTTGTTTCAACATAAACATAGTATGTTAAAACTTATACACTCTGCATTAAAGGGAAAAGAATAGATTTTCTTGAAAAAAAACCCTGAAAAATAATTTGTTAAGCTCAAATTCCAATAATATTCAATTTTGACGATTTTGTGCTCACTAAATTAGTAGTGGTTAAAAAAAAACAAGATGTAATTTTATGGGTGTGAGAAAAGCCCATCTGTATAATAGTTTTATTTTTATTTTTACCCCTTATCCGAAGAAGAGGAGAACCGTAATAAATTACGTGATAATTAGTGTTTATTTAATTGTTAAGTTTTCATTCATTTAAAAGATTGTTTTGTAAATTTTGCTTTTTATTATATTATTGTTGTTAGTTTTATATTTTACTTAGCCTGATGAAGGATCTGTGATCCAGTAGGTAGAAAGAAATCACAAATAATCCATGATTGTAAAAAACACAGAACTTAACCTTAATTTTATTTGTTAAAAATTTCTTCTAGATTAATAAAGGCAATGTCTACTTACGATAGAAGGAAATTTCGTCTAGTTTACTTTGAAACAATTGTTAATCACTAAATTTAAATATTTTTTAAGTTATCACTTTCTACTACAAAACTTGATTTTCCTAGTTTCTGTGAGAAATCGGACAATGGTTTGCCACTTTTGAAGGTTTGAAGGTCTGCTATTTTTCATTATCAATTTTATGAAATCATTGTCAATCTAATCGATATCACGAAATACTTAATTAATTGATATTGAATACTATGATGTCAACGATTTTTTATAATTATAATACGAATGATCCAAAATGTTACAGAAACAAGTTCAACTTCGAAATTTTATCATCTATTGTAAACAACAGCTATTTCATGGTGTGCATCACGTTTTGCTTAAAGTGAAATTTTATTAAATATAAATAGGGGATTACCTCTATCTGCCTGATGGTGCACCAACCCCCATTTTACAAATTATTCAATTTTTCATTTAATTGTACTACTCGTTGCTCAAGTTGTATAACTGTAATTTACATGCATTTTCTGGTTCAGATTGTATTATTTTTTATCAACATAAAATAAACCACAGTTCGGACTAATTTTTAATTTCTTTAAAAATCTATATAATACATCGCGCCTTATTGCCAAATTATAATATTATAGGATCATTACACACCAAATCAACGAGGACCTAACCCATTGCGTCTTGGATTTTAATATTTTTTTGGTTATTTGTTGAATGCATTGATATAAAGAAAATTTTTTCATCTATATCAAGTTGTTGTTGGAGAGGTGCCTTTGAGAGGTCTCATCACCAGCCCCTAATTTGTTTCAAGTTGGTGGCAGAAAAACCCATTTCTCTATAGTCTACAGCATTAAAACGGCTGTAACGGTATTAGTAAAAGTTTTCTTTAAGTATTCCCTATAAGACACTAAATTTGTGTATATAACGTACTTCCTCGAAAAAAGACCTGAAAAGGAGTTTTGATGAATTCATAATTACATTTGCGAATACCTCCAAAAGAGTACACTTTTCCCCCTTTTTGGGTCAGAACATATTTTGAAGACATTTAAATTTCCTAAGAGATAAAAAAACTTTCATCGAAATCCGTACAGTAATTACTAAGATCCGTCATACAGTTTCTTTTAGACAAAACAATGGTCAGCTTTAGCACATTTGGTAAATATTTGGAACAAGATATCTTTTTACAAAATCGTTTTAATGATTTTTTTATTTATTTTGTAGGTAATTTAGTATACTTTAAAATGACCATCAATCATTGTGTATAAGTATTTTCCAATGTGCTAGTTAAAGACGTTCACTAGACGTATTTAACTTATAACTATTTGAATATAATAAACTATTGGGTAATTATTTACAAAGCTTTTATTTCTCTATTTAACACCAATATAACAATTTAATTTCTTTCTATTTTTTTAAAATTAAAAATAGGTGGAAAATAGAACCTTAGTGACGGAGCTCTGCTGCTCACGTCTCTTATGTTTTAAAATCATGGAAGTATGATGGTATATATGTGTGCGATTTGTTATTGTATTTCTAGCATTTAGAAAGTGTCTAAAATATTAATGTTTTTTAATAGTAATATTCTAGAGTAGTGTATTGATAGTATTTTATATGACTAGTGTTATGATAAAGGAGGAAAGAGGAGAAATTTATATGTATAATAACAAAATAATGTTATATAAGAATTATGTCCACATGGATTATAATTAGAATACTGTGTGCAACACAACCCTATGCAGTAGGGCAGCATTACTTTTAATAAAGTATTTCTCCCTCTTAGCAATTTATAATTAATATTAACTCATAAAATTAAAGGATGAAGGTATTACTGAGGCTGGATGATTGGAAAGTATCTATATATGCCCTCATTTGTTCCCTTCACGTTACTCTGATTTGTTATCTGCAACTTTTCTTAACTTATATCTTTTTAATGACCAGATTTGAATTAGCTTTAAATATTTGGCTAACTTTTAAATTGAGCCTTACATATTTAGGCTAATTTTCAACATTGTCATTTTGTATTTATACTTAGATTTATCTTCAAATAAAGTATCTACTTTTGTCTTGTAATATAAAGTTTAAGATAAAATAATAAATGCAATCATAAATTAATACAATTTATTATTTAGTTAAAAAATTATTATTTATTTAATTCAATACATATTATTTTTGTTTGTTTGCATAGACAAAGAAAATTGTGAAGAAACTAACATTTCAAGAAATAAGTTGTGGGCTTTGATTTTGACTCCAACTAGAGAATTGGCTATACAAGTTAAGAACCACATAGCTACAGCGATCAAATATACTCCTTTAAAAGTTAGTTAATTTTTAAATTTAAATTTGATTATTACTTTTTCTTTTTTATTTCTTCTTGATATCTTACGTTGGCATTGTTCAAAATAATACAATAATATTGAAATTATATTTTATTTATTGTTATATAAATACAGGGGAGAAAGATAAGAGACAAAGATTAAATTTTAATGGGCAAAGATTACATTTCAACAAACTATTTCTTTCCATTGGTACACAAAAATTTTTATAGTCCGTGGTACAGACCCCTTTTTATCAAATTATTAACATTCTGAAAATTCCTGAATAGCTTCATATAATTAATGTAAGCTACAAATAATTTATTTATGAAAGCTTTTGGAATTGGGTTGTTTTCAATCTGGAAATCGACAAAGTTTGTCTATTTATTTAGGCACTAAAAACTTGTAAATACCCATTTTCTTTCCACTTGATCATAAGATAATTTGATCACAAAATCGAGAAAAAAGGTGGCCTACAAAAATATTTGGCTGTCTAGCCTATACAACATCATTATTTTAACATTTTGAGGGTATAGGTCATGCCGAATGCCTCAATATTTTTTAACAGAGATGGGTAAATGCTACTCTGAGTACTGATTATCAAGTACTTTACTCAAATACTGATCTTTTTTGAATACCGAAGTAGTGATCGAATTCTCAATTTGAGTAAAATACTCGGTACTCAGTACTCAGAGTAGCCCAACTCTGTTTTTGAAGTCCACCTTTTTCCTTGATTTTGTTCTCAAATTATCTTAAGATTCAGGTGGAAAACAAACAGGTATTTACGAGTTTTAGTACAAAATTAAATAGACAAAGTTAAAATTAAAGACAGATTGTTGTAATACTCAATAAAGAAATAAAAAAAAAAAAAAAATTAAAGAAGGAGATGGTCTGGGGTGGCGTGGTCATGAATAGATTAATAGTGGCAAAACTATTTCATTAAAAGCCAATGTTTTGATTAAAATTAAAAACGAAATTAAACAGACAAAGCCGATCTCCAGATTGAAAATGTCCCAATGTTCCGACAATTTTCATTTATAAAATAGTTGTAGATTACGATGTAATAAAGCTATTTATGAAGATTCAGGCGGATGTTAATAATTTGATAAAAAAGGGAAGGGGTCCTTGGACTATTACTATAGGTAGCTCTCTTCAGTGAAGATTAAAGAAACCTCTTTTAATTAATGTTGTTGAGGTCAATATTCCTCTTTAGCCTGGCCCTCTGTCTCAAACGCATTGCAGGTGTTATATGTTTAACAGTTTCTGGAATGTCACAACTGGGGCATGTGTGGTCGATGCCCTTTCCAAGACTGCAATTTTTTCGCACAAGAGCCTCTGTACCCTGTGAGAAATTGAATGATCAGATAGTCAGGTTGGACCAGATTGTGGTGGCCAAGTGTATCAGAGCATTGCCCATTTTAGCATTCTTGTGTCTAGCGATGCCAGTTTGAGGTCAGTCTGGGCAGTTTGAAGTTTATTTTGTGGTGAAACCACGGAATGAATTTCGACCTTCCACTCTGATTAGAATATGTTTGGTTGTACCTCTAGAAAAAGGATCTCCAAACTATGGCCTGCGGGCAGGATCCGCAAGCACCTTCAATCTGGCCCGTGAAAGTTTCTTTGAGTAGAAATAGAAAAATAACTTTATTCTGACAACAAAAATATAAAGATGATACAGAAAAAAACAAGAATTACTTCTGGCAAGAACTATTACATTAATTAATAGAGACATAATACAACTTAAGTATACTAATAATATAAGGAAAATCATACAACGAAACTATTTACAAAATAATTAGAACTACATACAATACTGATTAGCAATAAAACTAAATAATTGCTACATAGCTTTAAAAAAATAATAATAAAGAAATAAAAAAGATTGGAGGAAAAACAGTAAATGAAAGATATATTCCTTTGATAGATGAGCACCAATTAAAATAGATAGATTAAGAAGTAAAAGATAAAGAAATAAAAATTTATGTATTATATTTTAGTAAAAATTAAAACATATGTACAAAAAATAATAAAAAAGTAAATAAATGAAGTTTAATAGCAAAAATTTTTGTAGAACAGAATTGACATGGCATGAAAAATATAAATATATACAAGTTCCAATGTACAAGTAATTATAAGTATATACAAGCTCCTCAGAAGGATAAAAAAATAAATAAATAAATATATATATATATATATACACATTTATTTAAATATATATATATATATATATATATATATATATATATATATATATATATATATATATATACACACACATGTATGTACATACACACATATACATACATACACAAACATACATGTATATAGACATAACAGTTTTTTGAACAAGGTACTGTTACTTGAACGTTGTTAGCCAATTTCTGACTATTCTCTCAATAGCATTTGGAATAGAAGGGTTTTGAAGGTTTGAAGGAAGGGGATTCCAGAATGTAGTGGAGTGGGCAACAAAGGAATTTTGGAAAGAGACAGATCTGTAAAAGGAGTATAAAGGATCTTGTGATAAGAATATAAATCTTGTGATAAGAGAGTGGATATAGGACATGAATTGGAGATGATCGTAGGCATAAGAAGGAAGATGGCTGTTGCATAGTAAATGAATGATTATATAGTAAAATTTTAAAAACTACTTATAGATATAAAATTTAGCCAATTTCTCACACACGATATTACTACAGAATTCATCACATGTTTTTTTTTTTTCTCTTAGAATGCTCATTTCACAGCTAAAATGTCATATTATAGAACAAGATTTTTTTTTTCATCACATGCCATGGATCGTGGATGGATGGTTTCAATGCGACCCATGGGCCAAAAAGTTTGGAGACCCCTGCTCTAGAACAATCCCCTCTCTCTCCCTCCCCTTGTATGCCAGAAATGGCTAAGAAAGGGGTAATCTAATAAAAAAAAAGGTCAGGTTGGAACCATTTAGCAACTAGTTGAGACTGTGAGGTGTAGAAATACTTGCTTGGGGTAGCCCCTTGATAGTATTTATTAACCACCTGTTGTATTTATGATTAATATCTAACCTCAATATTAAATATCCATCATTGAGTTATTCCTTCTCCTTACTCAAAAGTTCTCTGGAATTCCTTCTCTTAGGAGCATATTTGATTTGTTAATGTTTTTTCCCTTCTTAGTGGTAATATGATTTTCTGTTGAGATTAGTAATTGGAGATGACTTCTATTTTACATATGAAACTGATATTGTTATTTTGGACTATTGAAATTTTAGGAATAAAAGATATAATTAAAATTTATTTTATTACAATTTCTCAATAACACCATTATGGTATTAGGTTGCAGTAATTGTTGGAGGAATGTCTGCTGAGAAACAAAGCAGGCTTCTAAAAGGTGAACCACACATTGTTGTTGCAACGCCAGGCCGTCTTTGGGATCTCATGAATTCTAATGAACCTCATTTAGCTGATATAGAGAACATAAGGTATTCTCAACTCATAATATTAACATACTACTTTCCTTTTTCTTATAATTTCTAAATCAAAATGATTTATTTGTTCCTATGTTAATTTGAATAATCCAATGAATGAAAAATTAGATCTTCTCTTACTAGACAAATAATCTATCATAGATTTCTTCTTTCTTTCTGATTACTCTTTGGTGAATTTATAGTTTTCTGTGTGTAATAAGAGAGTGTTAGTGGTTCTTAATTCATTTGATACGTATAAGATAATAAGGATTATTTCTGCCTTATTGTTGAGATTGCTTTAGCCGAACCTCCATTAGTGTTTTAAGTACTTTTCATTTGAATCTTACTTGTTTAAGAGATGAAATGAGAGTGGATTTCATTTAAGAGTATAGTATTATTATTTTATAGATGTGTCTACTTCTCATTGGTAAGTGATTGATGTATTAACTTTGGCTTGTGACAGATGAAGAAATTATGGGCTGGGACTTTAGGTTAATCTTAATGGATCATGCCAAATTTGAATATTTTATGATGTCATGTTAGTTATTTGATTGATACCAATAAGTTTTTTTGTTTTTTTTCTGTTGTCATTATAGACCATGTAGATCATTTGCCTCCTTAACAAACCTGCTCCATCTCTGCCTTTCTTGGGCTATTTCTTTCCAGTTATCTGCATGCAGCTATATTGCACCTGATTGCACCTTTGTTGATTCTATCTATCCATCTGCTTTTTGGCCTTCCATGTGGTCTTTTGCTTCTATTGAGGCATTCATTGTTACATAGAGGCTTCCAGATAGATTGTTATGAGCTATATGCTCTGCCCATCGTAACTTCCGTTTCTTCATATCATAAGAAACTGATTGACCAGTTTCTGTAACCAGTTCTTTGTTGGTCTTTCTTCACCCTGTGTTAGTACTGATTAGTTGATCACAGATCGCTCCAATTATCGTGCAGAGGATTTTTCTCTCAAATCTTTCAATACTTTTTTCTTGGGTGCTGGTTAGTGTCCAGTCTCACAGCCATATATTAGAACTGATTTTATCATAGCATTGTACACACTTAATTTGAGATTTCTAGAGATTTTTCTGGATTTCAATATCTTTGAAAGCGAGACGAAAGCTCTGTTTGCGCTAGTTATACGCTGGTCTATTTCTGACTGTTGGTCATTCAGGTTATTTTGGAGCCGAGATATTTGAATTTTTCTACTCTCAGGAATGGTTTTCCTTCTATGCAGATCCTGTTATTGGGGTGGAGTTTCCTTCAGAGTCTTAGCGACTTTCTTAATGTCCTCTTGATTACTTCCTAGGACAGCTATATCATCTAGGTATCCAAGGATTTTATGATTCGTTCTGACATGGACCCCTCCATTTTCCTGTGATGTTGTTCTTATCATCTATTCCAGGGCTAAGTTAAACAACATTGGTGATAGTCCATCTCCCTGCCCATTTGAACTTTGAAAGCTTCAGATACTTCTCCTTGTATTAGGACTCTACATTTAGGATCATTTGTACAGGTCATTGTCAATCTCACTAACTTACTGAGAACTCCATGTTCAGTCACGATTTTCCAAAGGCAGTTTCTGTCATAGGCTGCTTTGAAATCGACTAATAGGGCTTAGACGATTGATACCAGTATATGAAAGAATATCTGGATTGAATAACTGTTTTTTTTTTTTGTATTTTGTGAATTTTATTTTTTAGTATTGTCCTAATAAAAAGTAATAGCAATCAAATTTGAATGAACATCGATTTTTAGGTATTAATTTATAGTCTATTATTTATTATTTTTGTGTGCTCATTCAGCATTGGTTTATTTGTTCACTCAGGTTTCTTGTCATAGATGAAACTGATCGTATGATTGAGACGAACCACTTTCCAGAATTGCGTTCTTTGCTGCTAAGAATCAATAATGATGAAGATAAGATGAAGCAACGCCAAAATTTTGTGTTTTCAGCAACACTCAGCCTTGTTCATCAACTACCTGATTATACAAAAAAACGTAATATTTTATTAATTTCTTCAATTGTTGATAATATTGTTTGAATTGTAATAATATAATTCTTCCATACAATTAAAAATGACTTGGTGCTAGTGTAATGTTCTTATTACATAATTTTTATTTTCACTTAACTTTATATGTAAATGAAAGTATTGCGATTGTAAAAATTTTGGAATCCGAGTTTTCAACAAAAATACATATTTTGAGGTTTCTTGAGTCCGAATAATCTTGTCTTGCAAAGGTCTATGTTTCTGTATGTCTGTATATATGTGAACACTCTATCTCAAAAACAAAAAGTCATACAAAATTGAAATTGCTTATTTAAGATTTGTATTTGGCTGGAATGTTATAGCAACTTTTTTGTCGAAATCGGCAAACCAGAAGTGGCATTTTATATCATCAATATAACACATTTTCACAATTTTCTCGAAAACAGTTCGAACGATTATGGTTAAACTCGTTCTACCATTGTATAACTAAGGTGTCTTTAAGATCATTTAGGTGTTATCTCTATTGATGATATTTAACATGGCTTAAATGCCCAATGTTCAAAATGTCTTCCTCTAAAGGAGCTTTAAATTGGTTTATTTTAAATAATTAACTATCTCTTCATGTTAGGAGCTATGAAAAAAGGCTAAATATAACTTTTGGAAGAATTATTTTTGATTATTAGATAAGGGAGAAATAAAGAAAAATGCTTATCCAGGTCAAAAGTAAATCTCCGGAAATAATAGTCAGAAGGTACACATATAATATATCATTGCAAAGTGGACAATATTAGATAAAACAATATCTAATATAGAAAGTCGTATAAGGTAATGGAGATTTACTAAAAATTATAAATAATAATTTGTGAAAGCTAATATTATCACATTTTTCCCAGAAAATTAAATGTAATTTCCTAACTAAATGTAAAGTTTTAAAATTATTATTAAGTTTGAAAAAAAAATATTTAAAATCCACTGAATCAAGGCATTTGAAAAAAAAATATTTTAAATCCACTGAATCAAGGCATTGATATTGTTTAAGAAACTATTTCATTGTACTGGTGTGAAAAAAGAAGTAAAATATTAAAATATTTGTGGGTTGATGGTTGACTGTAGTGAATAATGAAGAGAAGGATAGTTGGGGTGATCACTCCAAATAAAAATGGCAAAAATAAATAATAATATTTATTTTAACATTTGTCCCGAAGTTCATTCCTTCATCAGGGCCATTGAATAATTTCTATACAAAATTGAGCGGTAAGTGGAAGTTGTGTGTTGTGCGCACCAATTTTTTATTTTTTTTTATTCCTGGCTTGGGAAAGAAATTATGCTTATTTCATAACTTCAGTTGAAGTTTTTGTTTTCATTATGGTGGGTTCCAGAAATATTGCTTTGGTGTAAATTTATTGTATGAAGATCATTCAAACAAATTTTTAGGAAAGGAAAACAGTTTTACTTACAATAGATGTATCTAACTTTACATTTAACTTTGTTTAATGATGTAGAATTATGAGTAGTTTTTTAATTACAGTTTCGATACTATTTTGTCTGTTTCAGGAAAGCGAGGAAAGAAGATTAAGAAAGACCCAACTTCTGAGAAAAAATTGCAAGGATTTATTAAGCTTATTGGTATGACCAATCCAAAAATTGTAGATATCACGAAAAAAACAGGTTTGTCTGCATCTTCTCTTAAATTGTTCTTAATATATATATAACCCTTATAATACCCCTGGTTATTAATAAAAATAAAATAAATAAAATTAAATCCTGAATCTGCTACTATGTAGTTGATTTGAAGCTTTCCTCAACACTCTTGTCATAACTCTCCTAAAAGGGGTTAAGAATAATAACATTTACAGTAACACAACAGAGCTTACCATAATAAAACCACAATAACTTAATTATACGTTAAGTAAATATGGGTATCCTCAGATTGTGGTATCTGGGGTAATGAGGGAGCTAATATTGGCTAAGTAAGCCGTTGCTGCTACCAACTCTTCTCGCCATCAAGAAACTCCACAAGCGACATTAATTGTACTCACCAACTTGCCTCATCCTTTAAAAAAAAATGGGAAATGAGTTCCGCCAAACTGAACAAGCTTTCTGTCAGACCAGTTTTGTTTTTAGTGATAAGTCCTTTTGTTGATTCATATACTTTCTGTGTGTATGAAATGGAAATGTATAATCTAAATTTAGTGCAGGTTAAACCGCATGACACAGCTAGATTTTGCCTGGCTAAAATTTTATGACCAAAATTTTGAATGAATTAAAACAAATAATTAGGATTTAAATTAAATTCAAATATTTAATTTTTAACTTTGATTAATATATAGCTTATTATTACAGGAATGGCTACTGGTCTAACAGAGGCCAAAATTCTTTCAGTTTTTGAGGAAAAGGATTTTTATCTTTATTACTTATTATCAGTCTACCCTGGCCGTTCATTGGTATTTTGTAATTCCATATCCTGTGTTCGACGATTAGCTTCACTACTCACTGCTCTGGATATGAAGCCTCTTCCTCTTCATGCCAACATGCAACAAAGGCAACGTCTCAAAAATCTTGACAGGTATGAGTAATTTTTTTTTCTTTTATTATGTAATAGAAAGAAGTTTAATGGGATACAAAGTTCTTATAAAGTTGTTTTTCGCCCATTAAATATTTCATCGAATGCAACACCATATCAAAAGCATATTTTCTCTCCATTATAAAAGTGATTTTATTAATTATACTAAAGGTAGGGAACCGCACACCAGAGGCCACATGTGACTTCTGTGATGTAGTTACGGCTAAACATTTTTGCGTGATGTTTATTAATCAAGTGTCAGAATTAATTAATATTTAGTTATTTAAGTTATGACAATTTGGAAATTAATAGAATTAAGTTAAATGTATGTATGTCAGCGTGTGCATTTAGTGATATATAAAAATAGCAATGGTAAAATATAAACTATTATTGTGGCCTCCATTAGCACTCCCTGATCTTACTGTGGCCTCTTATGATAAAAAGATTCCCCGCCTATGACTTACCAGGTTTCATCACAGGTAAAAGTGTTTCTTTTTCTCAAATCATATTTTTTTAACATTATTCAATTGAAACTTAAATTCTGAAAAAAAATTACTGAAAGTACTTAGACCCTTTTGCATTCATGTTTATGCAAACATAAATATAATAATAAAAGACGTAGCGAACGTGAAAGTTCGATACCAATACCACCAATCGTTGTCTACATGCTTCCATTGAACACAGTCCGAACCAAACACTGCCATATCAGCCTTAACGCAAACTTCCCTTGCTTGGGTTTACCTCTCAGTTGCTTTCCAGTCGGCACAGCGCATATTAAATTTTTAGGTATTCTTTCATTACTGAACCCAACAATTTTCACATGCTCATTTTATTTGCACCAATATAATCATCCCAATTATATTAACCGGGTACAGTTCACACAATTCGGCATTGTGTAACTGTAAATTTTCTGGTCAATTCGTCCTTTGGTGCAACTCTTCTACCCATTACTTTATTTTCAAAAACCTTAAGACGTTGCTCATCTCTTAATGTAAGTGGCCACGTTTTGCATCCATTAAGAATCGTGGGAAGGATAATGGTTTTGTTACTTCTAAATTTTAAGTTTGGGATTAGGCCTGAGCTAATTAGTGGAACAAAATAACAAGCTTTTTTCACCTTCAACCTAGTCTTAATTTCTTCCTCAGGTTCATTTTTTCTTGTTATCTCAGACCCTAAATAACTAAACTTCTCTACGTGTTTAAACGTCTTCCCTTCAATGCCTAAATCACTGGTATTATCATTGTATTAATTTTGAGCTCTAGTTCTTTACTGGCTATCATTAACGTTGATGTATCTAGTTTTATAGTTTTCCTGTCTTTTGCTTAACTATACCAAATCGTCAGCATGCCCAAGCACAAAACACAGCCAGAATTCAAATATTTTTTTGTATCTAGCATTTTTCTAATGTCAAAATAAATAAGATACGTAGAAGGGAATCACCTTGTTTTAAACCCTGATGAACCTACAACTTTTTGTATAAATTATTACGATTCTAATTTTATTGACTGTTTCTGCCATCTACATCCTAACTAGATTTACTAATTTTTCTGGAATCCCCTGATGGTCAAATGAATCATAAGCATTTTTAAAATAGATATAGAGCTGAACAACAACATTATACCCTTAGCAATCCCATTGCTATATACTTAAAAAAAAAATTGAAATGAAAAAAAGAATTCTTTCTAGTTGAGGAACATATTCCTTAAGAATAAATATTATTATTGCATTCTTCAAAAAATACGTGACTCAATTCTTTTATTTTTCTTGGCTTTCATAGTAAAGATCAGATAATTTTGATTGTATTGACTCTAAATTATTTTGAAATATACCTATAATGTAATAAAATCACTGCATCACATTAAAAAAAGCTTGTACTACCAACAACCCATGAAGCGTCTTAGGTTCAGTACAATGGGAGAAAGTGCTGTTACAAGGCCAACGGTTGTGCAGGGAGGTTATTGGGCCGACATCAGGCTCAATCTCCAGGTTTTTCTAATTAATTAATTATTTAATTAAGAGTACCCACTTTATAGAGGCTGAGTGTGCCCCAGGAGGGTCTCTTGATCCCAGGCTCATTAGACAGCTAATGAAAAATTATTAGTCATCAGCCGGATTTGAACCTGGGATCTTGAGCTCTGGAAGTCAGTGACTACATTATATTAAGGTTATTAAAATGTTATAGTTTTTTTTTTTTAATTTTTAAATGCATTCATTGTTTTCTGTTGCAGATTTAAATCAAACCCAAGAGCCTTATTATTAGCAACTGATGTCGCAGCTCGTGGTCTTGATATCCCATCTGTGGAACACGTTATCCATTATCAAGTTCCCAGGACCTCTGAGGTATTTCATTTTTATATTTAAAATTTTAATTGTATACATTAATAATTGTTGAGTATAAATTCTTTCCATTATAAGAAACTTAAGTTTAATCAAAATTAAATCAAAGAGAAAATGGTCTGTATGGCAGTCAAGAGTAATTCCAAAAAGTAGTTGAAACATTGAAAGCTACAAAGAACAAGATTCTAATAAGATGAAAACATTAAAGAATGATATGTGTGATATGTAAAATTGTTTATAACAAAAGAAAACAATATAATAAATATATGAGGAAGAAAAGAAATTTCGCTTTATTTTCTAATATAAAAAAATGGACATCCTTTCTCTGACTACCGCTGTTTTATTTGAGGAGAAAGAAGAAGAGGAAATATTGTTCATAAGAAGAAGGAATATCAGTATTTCAATGAGATGCTCATCATCCAAATCATCAAATTCCTTCTTGGACATTATTTGCTATTTTCTATTACATAATTGATTAGTAATAAATATCATATATTTGTAATTAAATCACAGCAGACGATGTTTTATCCTTTAATCAGTAGTAATCAGTAAATCCTCACTTTAATTAAAAAATACAAATCAATTTTTCAATGAGTGGATTTAAGTATTCACCTGACATTAAAATTTGTTGGATTCTTTAATTTATGTAATATCATTTGGATTTAGGTGTATTTGAATTGAGCTGTAAAATATTGTTAATGGAATAAATAAATAATCTTGTTACTTCAACCTTAATAAAATAATTTACTATTGCATTGTTTAAGTTTTAAACAATATTTCTTATAATTTTGCCAGACTTAAAGAAACATAGGAAATAAAACGCACCAAAGTGACTGTTATCATCAAAACAATGCTCTGATATGATAACATAACCTACAACCACCGAACCGCCAACAGCTTCACTGCTTTAAGAGCGTTCAGATAGGAGCAGCTTAGATATGACGTCATACCTAGACTGCCGAGCAGCGCCAGCGAAATAGATTCCTTTCTATTCCACTAAAGCAGTGGTCAACAGCTAGCAGTCGCGGTCGTGGGCAGCGCCAGCGATATAGTACCTTAAAGAAGCTAATAAAGAACCATGAACGATCTGTAAATAAAAGCCTAATACAAAAAACACTTAAAAGAATATCAAGAAAAGGCTGAAAGATTAATACAAAGTTTAAGTATGTATATATTAAATAGAAGCATATAACTATCTTAAGTATATGAGAAGGAGTTAGTCGAGGGTGCGGTCAAATAAATTAAAAAAAATTAAAATATATAAATTATTTTAATTTTTGCCGACGTTTCGACCCACTTTGCAGGTCGTCTTCAGGGCATAGCATGTGGCACTGCGGGAGGCAGTTGAAACACTGGTGCCACTCCCGCAGTGCCACATCCTATGCCCTGAAGACGACCTGCAAAGTGGGTCGAAACGTCGGCAAAAATTAAAATAATTTATATATTTTAATTTTTTTTATTTATTTGACCGCACCCTCGACTAACTCCTTCTCATATTATATCAACGGTCAACCATCTCTACATCATTATCTTAAATATACAATAAATTGATATGGTATAATAAATAATTAAAACATATTGTGAAATGTGTTAAGTAAAAGTAAAAACTAAATCATCCTGGTCATATTAGGCACTAAATATTGTTGCAAAGTTTGTGCCTCCTCTAGCAGCCTCCGCCAGTCTGTATGGCCCATTGCCACAGCTCTCCAATCCTGGGTGCTCAGAATGACTTGACCAGAAAAACTAAATATTAAGTAAAAATCTGCAACATACAACTTTCACTTACCACTCTACTTCTAAAAGTAATTCTTGTCTGGTAAAATTGGTCTATTAATAGAAGTTTTTGAAGAGCATTTTTAATGGAGCTAAACCTTGAACAATATATTTTTGAATTTTGGTCATATTCATCAATACAAAAACTCATTAAGACCATTATAATAACATAAATCGTAATTATTATATTCATTGTAGGCAATAAAAAATTTTAATATAAAATAAAAACATAAATCACAGAAGTCTCTGAGCTCTATAGACATAAAGAGATTTGAAAGTACATGTATTTAATTATGAATAAGTAAGGTTATACTGCATAGTAACAATTATAGGAATTAAATCTCTACACTTTTTACATGTATTTAAATTCTTATTTTTTACCCTTGGAAAATTTACCAAAATAAGTTACTTAATTTTAAATACATTATTGATAAGTCAAAAGTCGTAACACTGATTGCATGTATATAATGTGATTTCAAAAAGGGGATTTTTTTTGGAATAAATCAACAATGTATACCTAATTGTTAAAATATTAATTGGATCTAGAGTTATTAAACTACTAGTCCATGGCACTGACCCCTTTTTATCAAATTATTTATATCTGGCTAAAACTTCATAAATAGCTTCATCTCACAAATCAGCAAATATTTTATTTATGAAAATTCTCAGAATTGGGGCGTTTTCAATCTGGAGGTTATCAAACTTTGTTTATTTAATAAGGTACTTAAAAACTCATAAACATGTGTTCATTCCTTGGAAACATGTGGTTTCCGTTAGGTAATATTAGTTTTCAGAAATTGAAGGGTTTGGTGGAAGAAGGAGGCAGCTCCACTTTTTCCAGTCGATAGTAAGTTAAAAAAAACGTTTAAAAATTCAGTTTTCACCTCAACCAAAAAATATTCAGTCTTGTGTTAGATTATGGGTTATCAAATACAATTGACCAGAATACACACAAATCCATGCTCTCATGTACATGCAATGGAATTTTGAATTTTGGAGCTCCCTCTGTTTTGCTCCAAAGTGAATGAAAAACTCTTTGTAGGATCATTTTCTCCAAAATTCCAAAATTAACCAGATTTCAGTTTACAAAACATTGGTATAATACATCAATATGTACAGTTCTTCTTCTGTCTTCCAGCTCTTCCCCAATCTCCTCAGGATCGTTCGAAGCACCTGACGTCAACTGGTCCTAAAACTACATTTCGTTTTGCCCAACATACTTTCTAGTCAGCTCATTGACATCTTTAAACTTTTGATCTTTAAGCGATAGGAGACGATCATAAGCTTGATGAAGGTGGTCCAGTGTTATGAGACTTGCAAGTTCTTGGTTGCAAATTTGCGCATTATCGAAGAGTCATCCCTACGTTCACACTGCATTGAATAATCCCTTTACAGATACATGGCTGTTGATAGAGGAATAGTCTGTACTTAGTGATTAAATATTTATCATTTCGTATCGTTTGGAGGAAGAACGAGGCAACTCCATCTGCTGGATTTCTCTGGAACTAGCGGTTGGAGCTGCTTCATTCTTGTACCAAATGAAGAGGCTTATTCTTTTGTATGTGATAGGATGTGCAACTCAATAGAGGCACAAAGTGGAGCTCCTTCTTACACCAAACCCCTCAAATATTATTTATAATTTGTTTTCACTCTCCATTAATTTGTATGACTTTGAATGTTAGATATTATTTTTCCTAAAATTCTCAGCTTTCCAATGATATATTATACTTATACATTCAGTCTATTATTTCCGGAAATTCATTTTCTACCTAAAAACACATTTTTTCTTTTTTTCTCTTTTAGCCAAATAAAAAATTCTTTCATACTTTATATTCAGCCATTTTTATTGTTAGTATGTAATTTTATTGAATAGAAAGCGATAAGTTGAAAAATATTTTATTTAAGTAACTAAACATTGCTCTATACTAAACTAGATAAATCTTACTTTAAATGAAAGTAGAATTTGTCATTGCTAAACCTATTTAAAGAGAACTATTGGGCGGACTAACTCAGCTAAATTCCGTTTAAAAGTTCCGTTTACAGCTAAATTAAAAGTTACAGCTAAGTTCCGTCATACATTACTTGTTAAGAAGTTGAGGTTTATTAAGACAAATTTTGAGATTCACCTCAAGTTGTGAATATAATTATCCAACTATATCCAACTGTTTTTTTTTTTTATCAACTTTCAACCGTACTACATTTACCCCACTTTTAGAAAACCTTTTTCGTTTAATAAGCTATAAGTCGATATTAATTAAGTTGAGGTTCATTAGGAAAAAATTTGAGATTCATCTCAAGTTGTGTAAAGAAATGATATGATTTATAAAATAAAAATGTTTAAAATAATGATTTTTCATGTAAGATAGTTATGAAACTATGTTTTTCTTCCAGATCTCTATGATAAAAATTGATCTGTATTCATCAGTGACAAACTTAATGTTTTTAGCCCTAGCATTTATGTTTAAAATAAAGAAACTTATTGATTGAGTTAATTATTTTCATGAAAACGGAAATATTAGGGCTAGAAACATTAAGTTTGTGACTTATAAATACCCATAAATTCCTATGACAGAAATGTGGGAGAAAAACACAATTCAAAACCACCTTACATGAAAAATATTTGAAAAAAATATTACTTTTATAAATAAAATGTGTCTTTAGGCAATTATGTTTATTACAATATCTCTCATATCACGGAAAAACTAGAAATAAAAGCTTTAAAGCAAAAGTTAACTGTAGTCATTTTTGTTGGAAACGGTTACATTTAGGTGACTGGATAGGAAGTCACATAATTTCTTTAAACAACTTGAGATGAATCACAAGAATTAGCCTAATAAACAAAGAAGTTTTTCTAAATGTGGGATATCTGTAGTATAGTTGGATAATGATAAACTTAATAAAATTGGATAATGATATTCACAAGTTGAGGTGAATCTCAACATTTTTCCTAATAAAACTCAACTTAATAAATAATTTATAACTTTTTTTTAAACGGAACTTAGTGTGTTAGCTGTGTTAGTCCGTCCAATTGTCCTCTTTAAATAGGTTTAGAAATGACAAACTCTACTTTTGTTTAAAGCAAATTTTGTCTAGTTTACTATGGAGCAATATTTAGTTTCTTAAATCAAATATTTTTCAAGTTATCGCTTTCTATTCAATAAAAAACGTTACTCGCTTAAAAACACACAAATCTTAAATTTTCTTCTTTTGTGCTGGAAATTGGTCAATTGTTTATATGGACTTTTTTTTGTAGATCTTGATATCTACTATATCAACCTTTTAAATATTTCCCTCTACTCACGGGACATCCTATGGATGTAAGTGAAAGTAAAAACAAGGAAGCCAACACAAGTATTGAACTTTCTAATGTGCATAATCAATAGTATGAATCTTAAAAATTAATCAATAATGAATCTATGAATATAAAATACAACATACCTTCATGAAGCCTTAGCTTGGAGGGTAGTCTCAATTAGCTTTGCATTAAAACAAAGTAATTCTTTGAATTAAATTTAAAAATATTTTATTTTAGACTTACATTCACCGCAGTGGAAGGACAGCAAGGGCACAAAAAACTGGATTAACTGTTCTTTTAATCGAGACAAATGAGGTACCTGTCTATTCAAGGATTTGCAGCACTCTCGGAAGAGGTAAGAATCATTAGACATTAATGAATAAAATTCAATTTTCATTTGGACTGCATTATTAAATAATCATCTGGAAAAGGTGTGTTTATTTATTATTTAAATAACTAGCTTTCTTTTTTTTTAGTTTCTTTAGCTTTATTTTCACCCATGATAAATCTGGAGTATGCTTGCTTATTTCTTACAAATTATGGATATATGAGCATGTGCTGTAGTTAAATGAATAACATCCAAAACAAGATGCTTTCTCACTCAAGTTCTATGGCTTTATACTAAAATAATTAATTTTCTTCTTTGAGTTTCTTGTATTTTGGAAAAGGAAGCTCATATCAGTTGATATCATTTTACTAGTTGTGCCTATTTAGATTAAAAATATTTAACCCTTATTAAATTTAGATTATAAATGTCTGTTTCAAAGAAATGATCGAGTGCACCACTAAGTGATAAGATTGAATAACATCCAAAATTTATCAATATGGAAAAACAAAAGGGCCAAAACTTTTAAGTTGAAATTTATTAGCAGAGTGACCCCTCCTTCACTCACCAAAATTGGAAGGAAAGTGTACGATCTCACTTATATCACTGCAGTGCACAGCAGACCTTAAACCAGCCTTATCCTTACTCTTAACAAATGAAGGTCCTTGCCTCAACCCTATTCTTTTAAAACTTGCTAATTTTTATTGTTCAGAGTGCGAAAAAACGAAACAAAAATTGTAAGCATATCAATGTCTAATTTGAAATGCGTAAAACCTGTACCACTACAACTCGTGAAGGGTCTTGAGTTCAGTACTATTTAGGGAAAGCACTGTTTCTAGGTCAACGGTTGCGCAAGGAGGTGATTTGACCGAGATCACGCTCAACTGCCAGGTTTTCCCCCTTAATTAATTATTTAGTTAAGGGTACCCACTTTATAGAGGCTGGGTGTGCCCCAGGAGGGTCTCCCAACCCAGGGTTGTCCCACGGCCAATGAAACGGATAAATAAATTTTCTGCCATGAGCCGGGGTTCGAACCTGGGACCTTTGCATTGGAAGCTCAGTGCCCTACCACTGAGCTACCCCACTTTGAAATGCGTTAGAGAACACTATTGTTTCCATGTTCCATGCCTAGATCACATGTAATTTTTGCACTGGGTCATTATGTTTATAAAATAACATACAATTTGTACGTATAACAAATTAAGGGTGGATGAAACTGTGAGGCAGAGATAGCTGTATAATAATTGCACTCTTATTGAAAAGTTCGTGTAGTTAACTTGCGTAATAACATGGATAAAATTTGGATATTTTTACAGATCAATTTTTATGATTACTGCTCCCTGTTCCTAAAGTAAATGTACCAGTAATAGACATTTTTAAATTCATGAACGATTAATGAACTTTTTACACACTTTAGAGATTTTAAGTACAAATTTAAAGATTTAAGTACAAATATTTTAGCTGACACACTCAAAAAGATATCTGAACAACAGCTTATTTCATGCTGTAATGGACGCTTGGTAGTCCATTTTTTAATAAAACAAGACTAAATGTTTGTCACATAGAGACTGTCTTATCACTTTTGTTAAGGAGGTAAGTTTGAAATTGTATGCATAATTTGGAATAAGTTTAATTTATTAAATGGTACTTTTGTATTTCTCAATTAAAAAATCTACTGCGGTGCCGATATTACACAACTTTCACTTACCAACCTCTTCTTAGCAGAAATAAGTATTTTTAGACAAAGTGAAAGTGAAAGTAAATTTATAGACGCTATATTTATTTATGGGAGTGGGGTAGCTTAGTGGGTGAGCACTAACTTGGGTTCGAATCCTGCTAATTACTAGTAATTTTTCATTAGACGTGGATCGACCTTGGGATCGGGAGACCCCCCTGGGTCATACCCAGCCTCTATGAAGTGGGTACCCTTAATTTTAAAAAATGGGGGAAACCTGGGTGTTGAGCATGATATCGGCCCCATCATCTCCCTGCACAACCGTTGGCCTTGAAACAGTACTTCTTCACATAGTACTGCACCCAAGACCCTTCATGGGTTGTAGTGGTACAGGTTTTTTTATATTTATTTTTATTTCATCGAGGATATTTTTATTTTTTTAAATACCCTTACATATACAAATTTTAATATTTATATCGTTGTAATCTATACATTTAAGTATTACATAATACCAACAATAGCGTATATCAAAACCGCATATGTATACGTATATAATAGTGTCGGAGTCCGTATTATATTAAGCTCATGTTACGTATGGAAGAAGCCTGTTTTAATCTTTCGGATGAGCTTGGTTGCACTCGTATTCCTTTGGTTCCTCCATTACAACTATTATCTGTTAAGATCTCTTATTTCTTCTTTAGTTAATTATCAAATTCTTTCATATTTTATTTTTTAATATTTTTTATATCAGAGATCAATGTGAAATGGTTAATTGTTTCAAGTAAAAAAATTAAAGGATTCCCTGACATATAAAAATCTTAAATATGCAATTTCACTTTTGTACGACTTTTCCTTTTTGATCTACACTGTAACACACACACAGACGGTTTTGTGGAACTTGGTTATTTGGACTCGGAGAATCTCAAAACGTGTATTTCCATTGAAAACCAATTCAAAAACTATCATGCAATACTTTCCTGTACTATGTATTTCATATATAGGTTAGTGAAAGTAAAAACATTATATAAAATAACATATTAACCCCTAAACTTGGGTGTGCATTACTGGAACAGCATTTAAGCAATAGAACTAGTAATAGACACCCATGTCTAATACTGCATTGTTTCATTAGTTTTATTTTGTTTTTAACATTCACTGGTTAGTAAATATTGAAAAATAGTATGCCTGGAAGTTTTATTTAATTGTGATCGCAGGAACTAGTAACAGTAATAACATCTCAGGTTCTGATTCATGGATACAAATTATAAATCATTCTGTAATGCTTTCGTTAAGTCCATGTAATTCACTTTATGTTAATGTTTAATGGTAAGCACCATGCAGTCACAAAAAAAAATGCATACAATTTTATAACAAATAAAGGTACAATCCTAATACCAAGTCCATTCAAAACAGTATTGTTCTGACCAGAACCTCAAAAAACTAAGACAAAAAAAAAAAATTTAGAGAAATAATTCCAAGTATAGTCACATCCAACCAGTGGCAAGAATACCATGAACGGAAAGAAAATGTGGAGAGAGATTTGGAAGTTTGGAAGAAAGAGAGGCCCTTGTTCAGAATCAAAAAAAGAAGAGGAAAGGAGAAAAAAATGCAAACATTATAATTTATAATCCTATTAATGCATTTGCCTTTTATTAAATATATATATATATATATATATATATATATATATATATATATATATATATATATTATATATATATATATATATATATATATATATATATAATTTATAATCCTATTAATGCATTTGCCTTTTATTAAATATATATATATATATAATTTATAATCCTATTAATGCATTTGCCTTTTATTAAATATATATATATATATATATATATATATATTTTAAACGTTATAATTTGATTTTGTTTAAAGTTATAATTTTTTCCTTTAAAAAAGAGAAGAGTCTTGTCTATAACTGGTACAAAAGAATGTCTATTACTGGATCTTTGAAAAATTCCAAGTGTCCATTACTGGTACAAAATCATGTCTCAGAATTTTCCAATTTTTATATGAAAAATGATACAAACTACCTATCTAGCACACATATTTCAATAAAAGACTAAATTTGCTTTAAATTAAATCCATTTGTGAAGAACCACCATCAGAACTAAAGTTATAGTTCATATTAATGTGGAAAAATTCACGTAAAGTGTTTTTTACTGGCATACTTATCTTCTAAGTCCAAGCTTGATTTTATAAAGCCTAAGTCAGTAAACAGTCTGTCTACAGAAAAAAAGATTTTTTTTATTTCTTATTGTTATATTATATGGACTGGTTTTGTATTTATTTATTGTTTTACTCATAGATGAGGGATGTTCTTTTTAGATAAAGATGTACCTGATTTCAATGTCGATTTAAACCTCCTGAAAATGGCAAAGGAAAGAGTGAAGCTAGCACGCCAGATAGATAGTATTAGCTTAAACCTAAAAAAGGAGAAAAGTAAAATTGGCTGGATTGAGAAGACTGCTCAGGAAATGGAGCTTGTTTTAGACGATGATCAGTTGTGAGTAATACAAAACATTTATTTATATTTTATTAAGCTCTATTTTTAAGTATTTCTCTTAATTAGTAATAGATTTAGGTTTAAAAATATCACAATATTTCAACAAATAAATTTCACCAATCAAAAACCTTTTTAAACAAAAAGAAATTTTTTATTTGCTATTTTATAACATTTGAGTTTTTATTAGGGATAATTAAAATCATTTTGATTTTTTAAAAAATAAAACATTTTCAGTTTATAATATAGATGATAATAATGAGATATTGGATAAATAAAACAAGTTACATTGAAAAAAAGATATCAAAAACTCTACTAATCTACAAATTTATAAATATATTATAAATTAAAATTCAATAAAAAAGACGTGTTCCTGTATAATTTTTTTCTTTCTGCACGACCACTTTCGGTCTTAGATTAGACCTTCATCAGGCTAGATAATATAAAATTAACAACAGAAATATAAATTTTTACAAAACAATCTAATAATAATAAAAATCTGGTGTGCCCAGCACATAACTTTCACTTACGGCTCAAATTTGAATAGAAATTATTTTCTGGCCATGTTGTGGTATTATAAAATTTTTGAATTGTATTTTTAACTGATCTAAAGCTAAAAGATTACAGCTAAATCATAAATACCATTAAAATAAAAAAAGTCCTATTTATTATATCACCAGTTGATTATGGATTGTACGATCCGTTGAACATGGATTGTACGACTATTAGTTACTAAACTGTTATTTTACATTGCAAAGTTTAATAAAACGGAATTAAGAGATTTGCATTGTCTGTCATAGACAGGTCAAAAGTTGTCACACTACTTGGAAGTGGATACTGTTGGAATATTACAAAGGGAAAATTCATCAAATTATTCACTAATTTAATTTTATAAAAGGTTACATGATGATTTTTTGGAATAAACAGACAATAGATACCTAATTATTTAAATATAATATCAGATCTAGAGTTATTAAACTATAGTAAATATATTTAAGATTATAAATATATCCATGGAATATTTTTATATTTCACTTCTTCTTTCACACAAGTACAATGAAATAGTGTCTTAAACAGTATCATTGCCTTGAATCCGTGGAATTTAAATACTTTTGAAACTTAAAAAAATTATTAAAGTTTACATTTAGTTATTCAATTTCATTTAATCGCCTTGAAAACATGTGATTAACGTTAAATAATATTATTTTTCAAAAATTATTATTTATAATTTTTTCGTCACTCTCCATTACCTTCTACTACAACTTTATTAAATATACATTTTTTCTAAAATTCTCCTCTTTCCAGTGATATATTATCCGTATAACTTCCGACTAGTTATTAGAGATTCATTTTCGATCTGGATAAACATTTTTATTTTTTTCTCCTTTATTCAATTTTCAAATTCTTTCAAAAGTTATATTTAGCATTTTTTTGTAACTCTAAATAATGTGATATGATTAATTATTTAAAATCAACCATATGAAAGATATTTTAGAGGAAGAAGTATGTGAACATTGGACATTGAAGTCCTATAAAGTAACATCAATGGGGATCAGGCCTGATTGATATTAAATACCACGTAATTATATTACTAATTGTTATGTGTATATATATATAGAGAGAGAATCACTTTATTATCATAAAATAAAATAAAATGGTGCTGCCCAATTACATTGGGTTGCTAACAACACAGCATACTTATTAATCACTACAGACATTATTTAAAATTATTATACAATTATAGGATTAACAATATGTATGAGCATAGTATACAATATTTTATACGTATATATATATATTATTTTTTTTTTTCCTTTTTTTTTATAATTTTTACTATTTCTTTCATTCATTTATTATCATTCTGTACCCTTTCTCTTCCTTCTCTCCCCCTATACATGTTCCCACTCACATTCTCTCCTCTCTCTTTCTAACCTAATACATAAAAAATTCATAAAGTACAGTGGACGTGTTCAATAAATAATAATATACGCATGCCTTCCCCCCCCCCGCGAGCAAACTCTCCCCCTATCCGCTCCCATGCACATGGTGGTGGATGATTCCCAGGGAGTCGAGGATTATACTCTCCGCCAACCTTGCCACGTCCTTTATGTCGACACCAAGGCCCTCCATGAAGCTCCTTGTTGAGTCTGGTATCGTTCTGCGAGCTCCGAACCAAAGGCCTCTCACGTGGAACTCTCTCGGCCCGAAACTCTCGCGGAACTTTTCACTAAGGAAAGGGATGCATTTCTCATATATTTGTTTTTTCTCCCTTTCCACTTTTTCTGCCTGATCGAGGTCGTTGGTCTCATATCTCACGGTCGGATCCAAAATCATCGCCGACTTTCCCGTCTTAGGGAATGCTACAATGTCGGCATATCGGGTGGATCCATCCGTATCTATACAATATACTTCCTCGAAACAGGCGTATTCTCTCTCTTCAAGGAGCCTCATCAGTTCATGCTTGACTCTGTGGTGACGGCGTGTTATAAGGAGGGAGTTGTTGGGGCATTTTCCAAGCACATGTGCTGGTGTTTCTGGCTCTCTGTCGCATTTGCGACAGAGGGACCCAACTTCTCTTACCTGTCCGCTGACACCTGGGACTCCACGCAGGGGAGCATAATTAATATTTAGTTTCAGGGCATTTGACCATTCAGACCCAGAAAGTACTTGCTTATCATACATGTATTTATTGGCTTTCGGGGTCTCTTTAAAATGGCGAACTCCAATGCCCTGCCACCTGCAATTGGTCCATTCCTCAAACGAATTTTCTCGAAGCGACTGCCGTAGAGCTCTCATATTCCGAATACCCCGATCAACCCCCAATCTCTCGGCACATTCATCAACCTCAGCCGAATAATCAAAGATCGACTGAAAAAGGGCATCGGGCACATTGGACAGTCGCTGAGCAATGGACCAATGTTGTAGAGGAGCCTCCCATTGGCAGCGGATTAATCCTAATCCTCGATACCTCCTGGGAGAGTACAACATCGCCGTGGAGGTGTTCGCAGGGAGTCCAACAATAGCCTTCACACTCCTGCGAATCATGGTGTCGATGCCGTCAAGTACGGCAGGACGCAGCTTTGTGAGGGGCGCAGTTTGGAGAGGGTAAGTAAGACCCGGGAACAGATATTGGTTGACAATGTTTAGCTTCTGCTCCGGCTTCAGCAAGGGAGAGGTTACCAGTTTATTCAGGATTTCGTTCAATTTGGTCACCGAATCTTCGTTGAACTGTAGCTCTCCCGAGAATGTACATCCTAAATACTTGATTGTATCTCCATTCTGCATTGTTTGGATGTACTCTCCGTTCTCAAGGGAGAGCATCGCGGTTTCCAGCTCTCCTTTATTTAGAACGATGCCCACGCTTTTTTGAGGATTAATAGCCAAACCAATTCCCTCAAATGTCCTCTGAACGCTGCCGATCACTCTTTCTGCAGCCCCCTTGTCACGCGCTGACACGGCCTGGTCATCCGCGAAACCTGTGAAGACCACACAACTTTGGTCACTTTTTAACTTGTATCCAAATTTTTTGGAAAATTCTTCATCGCACAGGTCGCGATATATATATATTTATATTATACTTAATGCTGTGGACATTATTAATGTTATGTTTGAATGCAGTACTAGGCTCAAGATCTAACATTGTTAATTATGCCATTATATTTATTTGTACAGGAATTTCCTTAGACAAATAAAATAAACTAATACTACTATACAACTATACTTAGTTTAATTTTTTTTTTTTTATCACTAGCCATTTTTACTATAACTTTTTGTAGGAAGAATTAATATTGTCTTCATATAATTTTTTATCACTCTTCATTAGCTTAATATTTCAGCCCTCCCTCCATTTCTAAAAGCTGTTAAACTTATTTAATGGAGTTTTCATAATTTGTTCAGAATTCAATACGTTATTAAATAAATTTAATATGTAGTGTTCCCAAGAGGGGTTGAGACATTTAACAACTTCATAAGTTATATTATCAGGTCCTGGAGATTTATGTTTTTTACAGGTACCTATGCTTTGTTGCAGTTCTTCCAATGATATATTGATATCAAGGAGTAGATGAGTTACGGAGAAACAGTATGTTTCATGTATCGTTTTTTGGCCGTATAGATTTGAGTAATATTGAAACCAATCGTTCAAGACTTATTTCATTGATGTTACAGAATAATATTTTTAATAACTCTTCGTATAAGTGGTTTGCAGTTAAATTCGCCGGCCTTTCAGCTTTAACATTTATTATTATTTTAGATGACAACGAATTATCATAAGCAAAACATCAAATGGAGGTGTGATCCTTCGATGAGCTTCTAAACTTATACTCACCCAATTTTTCCTCTATTTTTTTTCTTTTTGCTGCTTGAGAGGGTTCCAACTTTTGCTGGTCATCATTGAAGTTCTCCAACAGTGCTTCTACTTCATTAAGTGCGTATAAAGTCCCTCTTATTTTAAAAAGACCTTTTTTGTAGGACGCGTGAGGATCAATAATCTTTAATTTGTTTATGTAACTAAAAATCTTTTTCCCTTGTTCTCTTTCTTCGGGGGTTTTATCATGTCTCACATAATTTTTTTTTGATTTTAGAGCATCTCTATTCTTAAATTTTTTAGTATTTTAAGGTGCTGTTATTTAATGACAATAATATGGGGCCCTTTCCTATTCTGAAGCAATTATTAACGGAATATTCTGCTATAGTGCTATATTGTCAGTTTTTAAGGAATCATTTTTCTTTATCTAAGACATCCTTGCTTTCTGTCATTGGTATGTTATGTATAACAAGATTATTCTGCCTTAATTGTCATTTTAGAATTATAATTTCTCGTTCCAATCGAGTATTTTTTTCCTCTCAATGGATGAAATGTTTTTTTAATGTATCCAACTCCTCAATTACCTCGGCCATTAGTTTATTATTCTTTTCCAGATTTGTGTTTATTTCTTTAACAGCCTGCATAATCTTGTTAGTACAACCCATTTTTTAAAGATATATTTCACGAAGTTGGGTGA